CCTGACCCCCAAATCGCAATGGGAAGGCCACTTAATCCTCGATCGTTGGGGCCAAAATGCCAAAGTGTTTCGGAACAGGGATGAATTATGAAACGGCGTACACCATCTATCAGCTATCGGTGTCAGGTATTGTTGCGCGTGGAATGCGCGGTCGCGTTACGCGACCAGCGAATTCGCCACGAAATATTGACCCATACGGGGACACGCAACAACGGCTTTGTCGCACTTTTGCGATTGTTAGGATTTTACGAGGGCCGTACGTTACCTGGTCGCGCGTTATGTCCTCAGGCTTGGTTCAACACCTCCCGTTTTCCATCCCTCGTCTGACGCTAATAATCGAAGGCAGTCACTTCACATCCTGAGAAAAAAGAAAAAAATCATCGAACCAAAGAAACATTTTGTTAATACGGAAAATAATTGTTTGACTCAAATCAACTCGAATAGGCTGGACGCAAGATTTATTCGGCAGTGTGACCATTTATTTGAGGGAGAATCCTTGGAATTAACACGATATCTCTTTAATACTAATTAAAGAACTGGGATTGGTATCTTGGATTACTAAGTAACGACCATCGGTTCCCTGCTTCGTCCCAGGGTAAGGGATTTCCGTCCAGGGGGAACCTGGAGCTCTCCCGGAAGCCCGGCACGCCTCTCCCGAGGGACGCGCGGAGTGACGGACCGGCTCTAACTGGCAATGAGGAAACTTCCGGTTTAATATCATCCTCCGGGGGAGTCATCCAAGATCACATCACGGATCCCATCCGACACTTCGTTACGAAGTGGTTCCGCAGCCCAAGTCGAGGAAGAGGTGACGACGGGAAGTTCCCCAACCCCTGGTCGTGTATCTGCCCAACACCTAACGCTCGACACGTAACGCGTCCTTATAGCCAATACCCTTCGACCAGCACCCAACATTTAATACCCAGTACCTAACATTTGATGCTGAACACCCAATACCTAATGCCCAACACCCATGCGTGGTGGATGTTGGGCATTAGGTATCTCCATCGCCCTGTACTGATGATCCCAACATCCAAAACCCAGTATTCAACACCGTCAGTCGTCGACTGCCGTCTACCATTCATGACCTACCACCCACCATCCATCGCCCATCACCACCCACCACCCACCACCCACCGGCATCGAGGAAATGCCAAACTCCCTGCAGCATCCCTTTCAGAATAAGCGAAGCCAACGCTTTGGGGTCGCACCCAACTTCCGGAAGCGAAGGTGTCGCATCCCGGCAAACTTCCGCCTGTACTGCAAGGAGCAACTGCAGGCATCTAAGCGCATTATCCGCCTCCACCGTGTAATAATAGGATCCGAAGGATCATCCTAGGACCGAGGTTCCTGCATCCGCACGTGGCGTCAGCTTCCTTGAAACCGGAAGACGAACTCGCGATATTCGACGGTATCCTCAGACCAAAATAGGCTTAGTGGTAGTTGCTTCGACGTTTCCGTTCATCTGTACACCTGTTCGGGTTTGCGGTGTTCGGGCGACCTGTTGCCGAGGTGGTTCACTGTTCGGTTTGATCAGTGAGTCCATTCTGCCGTGGCGTTTCTGCTGATGAACATTTCTAGATGGGTGCTTCCCATTCGTGTCCCCGTCCCTCCAAAGCTTCTCCAGACCTGGACCGATCAATCAATAGTGCTGGACTCTGCAGAAAATAGCGAAAGGTCATGGACGAACCCTTTCCCGATTTTTCAGAGTCATTAACATTGATCCAAAAGAATCGTAAGGCGGATCATGCTATCGTGGGAATTCACCGAAAAAGCACCATTGCTCGCGCTCCCTATTCTCGTTTTCATCAGGGCGAGTGTTTTTCCATTTCAGTACGCGCATCTTCGTGGACAATGGTGCCTTCCGGTCGGCCGTTCCGCCATCTATCGGCGAATTCGATTCGGAACGCGCGGAACGTGCGGAACGCGCGGACCACTCGCGTCCCGACCGGACACGTGTAAACATCGACCAGCCAATACGACCTAACCCCTTCATCGGACAACTTGTCACGCGTGCGAGGTATCGGTGCCGGTGTAAACAAACGGCGAACTGCGACGACGAAACCAAGGGGGACCAACCCCCACAATTTCGCGTAGCACAATGAAAACCCGTCACCGCCGTTACCACATTTCCCGGCGGCGGTTACATCGCGCTAAATCCCGCGCTCCCTCTCCCGACTAAGTTCCCCGGTCACGTGACACCGCGTTGTAAACCCCGGTAATAAACAGCGCTCGCGAAAATCGAATTACGCCCTTCATCGGGCATGCGAACGAATCCGCTTTGCTCCCTATTAAGCGAAACGAGAGAGTGTACGCGGGTGTTTGAACGACCTCTCCGTGACGAACTGGTCGATGTTTCCACCGGCGTAAACAGCGTCGCCGCCCTTAAAATACCGGGGATTAAGGTGCTCGATTGAATTTAGTGGAAAATATACACGTAGGTGGAGTCGTTCACTCGTATTCATTCGATTTCCGTGGTTTGGGATGAATATTAACTTCATTTTTGATCATTTATTGGGGTCCAAAGTCACGAGGTGGGGCAGCTTAGCTTTAGGGATTCCCAGGGCGTTGTTTCGGGTTTTTATCACTTTGCTGGACGCGGTTGGCTCTCTCTGTTTCATGAAGTTTCATGAACGAATGGTCCCTCGGATGCCACTTTCACATCCCCTTAAGACAGTCAATTTCATCTAGGGATTATCACTAGGATATAGAAACCCGGCGAAAGGATCTTGTCGCTATGCCTGCACCACTGGGTGCTGGCGACAGTCGTGTAAATGCGCCCTAAGTCCGTAAATTTTCCCGGCTGCATTGTTACATACAAAGCCCCGAGGGCCGGGTTTTGGTGCACTGTCGCTCAGTTGCATTATATCACCACCAGGAGCGCTTGCAGCGCGCGGAGCCCTAGTCGTTGGTGGTTTCCGGCGCCTTAGGCCGAGTTTCCAAGACCCGCGGCGGTCCGACCGCCGCGGTCGGCCTAGTTTCCGGTCTGGCCTTTCCGCTCGACTGAAATTTTCATCGGTGCTTTCATGGAAACGGAAGCTTGCCAGAAAGGCCAATGGGAGGGAACCGCAAGCCGGATTTCTAAGGACGAGCGTATTCATTTAGGCGACATTGATTTCTTTGATGCGGTCCAGATGTAAAAGACGTCAGCCTTGTTGAAAGAGCGCTCTGGAATATTAGCTTTGACTTGTTTATTCCCGTTTTTTGAGGTTATAACTATTGCCGTGACCTCGAAATTATGAACAGTCCGTGTTAATAAACTAAGCTGGAATTTCCAACAAACCCCTACGTCAAAAGTTGAACAAGGGTCCCGTGAAATCCGTCTTATCTCTGGTCTTCAAGAACCTAACCTCGAAAAGTTCCGAAGTGGAAACTCATGCTCACCTTCCTTCAAAATGAGGAACCTAGCTCGTGGAATTTTATTTCCCGTGGAAATTAACTCGTACTTGTATGAACATAACCTCTTGTTAAACTTTGTTTCAACGCGTTAACCTAATTGACGAGATTTATGCGTTTGTTTTATAATAGACGTAATGCACGATATATTCGGGGAATGGTTGCATTACTCGTCGTTAAAATTTTCACGGTAATTAGGGCGAGAAAAAAAAAAGCAATACGTCACGGTACTGGAAAAGTAAAATATTAAAACAGATGGCGCCCTCTCGTTGTCAGTCGTGGAGAGTGGTTAACATTTTACTTGTTAGGGGTTTCTGCGTGCCGGAATAATCTTTTAATCAATTCGGAATTCAACCGCTCTCGTGTTTCGACCTCTATCTCTATCCCTGCCAATTACATCGCTTCCATTGGAAATAAAAAAAAGAAAAATAGAGAGAACTTTCCGAATTTCCGGTTCATGGAATACATTCGTTTGAATGGCCCGCCATCATTTTGATTAGGCTGTTCTAGAATGCTTCGTTTAACGGTTTTGTAATGTTCGAATGATTCGTCAAAGCCTTTAATTAATGCCCATGGAAATGGAGCTTAACCTTTTTGTTAGCAAAATCTCTTAAAGTAATATAAAAGGGTCATACTGTGTATGTAAAACCGAGAGTAGATAGTTTTTTTTAGAAATGAAACTTTATGTTACTTTCGGAACACACCCGAGTTGTCGAACGCAATTTGAATGTGGCGCCAATCGGTCGAACGTTTCGTTTAACGTTTCCGTAGAATTTGGGGGAACGAATCGCTCGGGCTTTTTATCGTCGGTCGTGAAACTAAAGAATATAAATCTTGGAAATCAATTGGAGCATGGAAGGGATTCCATTAACAGGATTAAAGAGGAGCTGAATTTTGAAAACGTAACTCTCGGAGGACGTCTAGTGGAATAATCAAGCTTGATTTCAAGATGGCGGCGCTCGGTCCCTACACGCCTCGGCAATTCGTTTAACGTTTCTGTAACGAACCACTCATTCAAACTGCCGTATCGCCCGATATTCGTTTAATAGAAAATGGCAGAATGGAAAATCTCGGCAATATGTAACCGAAAAATACATCCAGTTGAATAGCCACGTTTCTGTTTAGAAGTACTCATCCAGACACTACGAACGTGCTTTGATAAAAATTCCCAGGTAAATTTACATACTTATTGGCTGTTTCGATGCCTGAATAAATTCTGGAATAATTATGTTATTCATGGTGGGAAATCCCGTAAATGGATCCAAGATGGCGCCTCGTCTTTCGGAAGTAACGCCGTGAATTCCCGCGCTCGTACGCTCGTTAAGCATTGCGGAAAGGGTCGCCTTACAATTAGCGTTTCCTAATTATTCTACCAGAGGGCGGCATCTCCATTGCGCTCTTTTTTGCCGGGCTAAATCGTCCATTGAGATCGGTTCTTTGCACCGAAGGAGCTTAAAGGAGATCCGCTTACCTCACCTCCTCTCTTTCCCTCTTAGAGAACGGATTATGAACTTGAACTTGAGCCGCGTCCGACATTTTACACTTCGAGTACTACATATAAAAGTCGCCATAAAAATCCGAACTACTAGTCTGTAAATTTCCAGGAATTATGCGGCAGCGTTCCTCTCTGCTTTTATTGTTTGTCGACGATTAGTATTTCCAAAAAATGGTAGATGATACTCGCGTATAGAACCTTCTTGAAAGATCGACCTTAAGAACGCAAACTACCAGTCTGGAAATTTCCAGGAATTATGCGGCAACTTCGTGAACGTTACCCTGTGCTTTTATCGTCCGTAACGGTTGGTTTTCCCAGAATGTGGCAGACGATATTCCCGTATAGAAGCTTCTTGAAAGATCGGCCTTAAAAATGCGAAACGCTAGTCTGACGGGAAGGTCTGGAAATTTCCAGGAATTATGCGGTAACCTCGTCAACGTTATTTCATCTTAGCGTCATGCCCATCATGGAGTACATGAAAATTCCAGCCGCCTTCTTCGTATGCAGCATCGCTGCAGCCTGCGCGGAAAGAAATCCCGAGAGACCAGCTCTCTCTCTCGCGAGTGTTGGCGCATACGTAGGGTGAATTTTTATCAAGTGAGAAATATTTTTCGAACCCTGCCCTCGGAATCCCGGGAAGAGGGACTCCTTTCTCGAGTAAATCGACTTCCAGCCGCCGCGGGGCGCCACTTGGTTATCCAGGAATCGCGTGCCTGCCAAGCCTTCTACGCGTCTTCGTCGATTTCACCTGAATGATGTATATTATATATTATTTCATACATGCCGACGGTAGGAAATATGGTACACAACCTAGCTCCCAATTTACACGGTACTTTATTTACACGGTGGGTTCCTAACCTAAGATACGGCATGTTGCGGTGAGTTCCTAACCCAAGAATCTTTTACTCCAACAATGGCTTCCATTTCTTCCACATATCTCCGTTGGGATTAATGCCAGGGACCAGCTGTTCGGAAATCTCCAAGTAGTTCTTCGCCGAGCTCGTCAATGGCGGCCATTTTCTCGTTATTACGTCGTCAATCTTCGGCGTCGGTGTCCTGCACAACGAGAATCCATAAATCCCATCGAAAGATGACCCAATTCCTTCCCAGATGGATCGAAATCATCCCGCCTCGTTCAATTTCATCCTCTTTTTATCTTTTTCTCATTTCCTTCCATACTCCTATAGGTTAATCCTTAAGAGGGTACCGAACCTTTCTACTGTTACCGACTGACAGGCGACTTCGAGACAAATACATTTTCGAGCGAGAAATAATAAATAAACAGACATTTACATATCGCTTAAAAAAATATCGCAATAGCTGATTAGTCGAGTATGTCTTTTTATTATTCATATTTTTTTTTTCTTCATACCCTGTCTTGGCAAAGTCCGTCCACATGCGAGTCATTCGCTCCGTGACAAGGTAATCCATTGTGCCAGATTGATAACTCTTATCGCCCGTGAATTTCGGTATATGAAATAAGCAGCTGAGTTCATCGCCGTGAGTCGACTCTGTAAAATCGACAATATTAACGTATTATGAAATTTTCGTTTATATATATATTTTTTAATTCATTTTTTAATCAGGCGCGCTGAACAACATTCAAACTCGCGAGATTTCATTTTTTGCTTACATTCTTCGAAAAGAAATTTTCTTCTTTGTTTCATTTAATCCGGAGAAGGAACGAAAAATGAAATTTCATGAGTTTGAAAATTATTCAACGCACCCGGTTTAAAGATGAAATTAAAAAATAATTCGGGGCAGTTAGGGAGATATGAACATTGGAATGATTTCATTTACCATTGACTTTGGTTTTTGTGACGGTCTCGAGGATGCTGAATTTCGGAACGTGAACAAATTTATAAACAAAGGTCGGCGTCTCGAGGTCGGCTTGCAGCTCAATGACTTTCTGTATGCCATTATAAATAGTCACGTCTCCCATGAAATGGAGATATTCATTAACATGGGAAGAGGTTACAGGACCCCCCTCGAAGTACATGTCCTTGATAATCTTAACAATTTCCGGTTTTCCGCAGACATTACGTACTTTGGCAACGGTCTTCAAGATTTCCTCAAAGTGGTCCTCTAACCACTCGTGCCAGTTTTCCCGATGGTCTGGAAAAGATAAGGTCCCTCCCTGAAGGTGATAAGGCATTAAAAAACCCTCTTTTATGAAATTTCCTCCTAATCCGGTGTACCGATTCGTTTCAAACTTGACAGTGTTAATGTGGAGGCCATAAGGAAGCTTTTGACACCCATGAAGCTTGACTTTTTACAAATAATTTGTTTATTCATGTAAACATTTTTTTATAAACAATGAAATTTCAAGAAAGCCAGGACCTTGCTTATGGCCTTTATAGTCATTTCCTGGAGTTTGAGACAAATTGGTACACCCAGTTTGGAGAAAAGTCTCATAAACCATTTAATTTCCTCAAAAGTGTCATTTTTTCGTGGAGTTTTATTAATAATAGTTAATGAGAGTACTTATTAATTTAAGAGCTCCCTCGAAGGAATTAAATCCGATTATTAAGGGGACACGAATTCCTTGTTTTGCTAGTTCCATCCCAGAAATCGCACAAAATGGAGTTGGACTTTTGTCGTCAATGGACGGGCCTACTGTCATCTCTAAGTCATCTAATGTCTGAAAGAAATAAATAGTTATATCCACCTGCGAGACATTAAAAAACAGAATAGAAATGTTAAGAATCCATCGACGTTGGAAATTATCGCTGACACTTTCTGTGTTCCCTATTATTTCCATTTTAAGGAGTTCATCGCCATATTGGATCTAACGATACTCTCTGACCGCTTTTGATATTTCGGATATTTCAACTAGTAGAATGGACCGTATAAATAAATGTAGGTACAATAAATATCACCAGATTGGTTGTTATCTTGCTCTGTGCCTCCATGAGTTCCTTCAAGGGTAAGGAACGAAAAAAGGTGACGAGTTCCTCGACGTCGGAGGTCTCCTTTTCCAATATGGCGGCCATCTTGAACCCGAGAGGCAAACTATTCTTCCGGAAGCTCGGGGGATTAAAAAGGGAGTGACTTTGCATGATGGCTTTGTGGAAGAGACCTGGGGAAGTCCAGAAGAAATTTTTCAAGAGCTTAATAAGTAATGTCTTTGCGGTTTATTCTGAATTTTAATGTCACCTTTGGACGAAGGAGAGACACAGAGATAATGGACACACGAGGATCCTGCACTGCCCCCGAAAATTGTGACGTTTTCAGGATCACCGCCGAAAGACCTTATATTTTCCTGTACCCACTGCAGTGCTGCCTTCAAATCCTTAAGGCCTTGGTTTCCCGATACCAATGGGTGATCCAAATTTGAAAAACCTGTATAAAGATTATTTTTACTATCATTATCCCACTTTTCAGAGTACCTGAAATTATTCAGTACTTTGTACACAACCTAAAAGTCGAAAAACGTATGATGTGGTATTTTCAGGAGGAACATTAAGGCCGTAGATTTTTTTTAATCGGTTTATAGCAGATTGTTCATCGAACAGCCTGTTTTCGACTGCAGATATATATATTTAAATCCGAAATCGGATGACAATCGACCAATCAACGCGCGTAATTAAAGCCCCAATTGAAGTAAACTCGAGGTAGGAGATTTTATTTCCATTTAGGAAAATCCAATTTGTTAGGAAATTTGGGGGGGTAAAAAAAAAGAGTGGAAAACGGGTGAGGTGTAATAATGGGCGCGCATGAAACATCGAACGCCATTTAAAAGGCAATCAATGGAGCAATTTCATTGACCGGTACAGAGGGAGACGGCGCTGAACATTATTCCTCATTTTCCCCCGGGAAGGTCTAGTCCGCAGTTTTAATTATCAAAAGTTCCATCACCGTCCCGAATTTTAATTACTCCGCGGCGAAAACCGGGGGATTAACAATTACCGGACGGATTAATGAAATTTAACGGCGATTTAAATTACGCGGGCGCGGTAATTTGAAATTTCGCGCTCCTGTTTTCTCTCGCTGCGCTTTTAATTACTACGCCGGAAGTGCGACGGAATTGAGGCTGACGACGGAGATAAATATTAGAAAGACATTTCACTCGAGCCAGTTAGTTGACAAGACTCTCATTAAACGAGAATTAAATGCAAAAGTCGAGGGAAAACTGCCGCGGGATATTTTCAAGATGGCCGCCTCCTCTTCTTCGACCTTGCGACATAATCCTCGCGTTCTATGTCTTAAATTCATCGATAGGTCCGTTTTAATCACTGATTCAATATTATCAGAATATAGTTATGGAGCTATATCGAGGGAGAGTCAAAACCCACCTAAAAAGCCAAGTCTGTAGTTGGTTGACACAAAGACGACGCCATGTTTGATGAGATAATCGGGCCTGAAAATCTCATGGCTGTTGGACCCCACGACAAAAGAGCCCCCATGGATCCAAAACATGACGGGCTTCGGTTTGTCGAAAGATTCCGTCGATACATTTAAATAAAGGCAGTCCTCGCCTCCTATAACCTCTTTGGAGACAATGTCCTGTTGGACGGATTCGCCGCCATCTTGAACGGCTTCGCGAATTCCCTTCCAGGACTTTGCCGGCTGGGGGTCCTTAAGAGGTTATGAAAGAGTCAGCCTATATACGAGCTGTCCCTTTTTCAAGTGGTATAAGTCCACTTAAAAATAAAAAAAGTGTAAAAGACAGCTCTCACTTGGAATCTTAACTCGCCGACTGGTGGCTCCGCGAACGGGATTCCGCGGAAGCAAAAGAACTCTCCACCAGCGACATTCCGCTCGACATAACCCTTCAATAGGCCCTGCTTCACTCTGACAATCGGCGCCATCAGGATTTTAACTAACGTTGTATCTTCTTACACTACTTCATGCCCACAACCACAAGAAGACTGACTCTTAAAATCATTTCTTTTAGTATTTATACCTCGCAATGCCGCATTAATAACCCCTCGGTTATCAGGAATTAATTATCGCGCTTTTGTTCTCTCTCTAAGTTTCCACTTTTCCGTCCATTTAGCGGGTAATAAGTGATTGCGAGTTTCTAATCACTAAACATGGACATATTGTAATCAGAAATCGGAAGAAGTACAACAGAAAGCGAATATTTTCATTCCTGGAAACAGTTCCAATGAAAAATATCGCATTGTTGCAAAGTTGCGTCGTTGGTCAATGTTCAAAAGTCGTATACGAAACATTATTAATTTCCCACGCGAAAGTTGATAGTATGAACGGTAGAGTCTTGCGCCAAGTACGTTTTAAACCCTGCGCGAATCCATTCCACCGAAGGATTCTTTTTTTTTCTAAAAAGTGATTTTTCTCCCATGTTTAAAAAAACCATAACACCAGTTAGGGTGGCAACTATCAGGCCGAAATTTTGGATTTCTTTCGCAAACGTTCCCAGGCGGCGTATCTTTCGGAGGGGATGTCCACTTTGTTCTGAACGTCCTCGCCGATGTCGAAAATATTAACTTCCTCTTCTGTAATCGGCTTCCAAGTCGTCCCTATCAGGTCGTCCTGCCTTGGGGTGGGGTCCCTAGAAAGTTGAAATTCGAAAACTCGGCAAAATCGCTCGTCCAGGTCGAATTCGAGGAAGTATAGTTACCCAGTCGCTGCGAAGTTGGCCCAGAGTCGTAAAAGTCGTTCCATCGTTATCCAGTCCCGACTTCCGGGCCTGGGGGGTTTCAGGTCTTCTGATAAGAAGTGCGGCATGTGAAACATGTACGACAGTTCATCCGCGTGAGAGACACCTGGAATTATGTTAATATATCCTAATTGCAGCTATCAGAGAGGTATCACGCCGCGCATTTATACCCTGTCTCTCTGGCCCCTGTGAGTGATTGCCATTCTTTACACAGGTGTAAGGAGGGTAGAGGGCACTGAGGGGCCTCCCTTTTAAACCCGCGGGGCCAGTTCGTATTTATTTTTTATATTTACCTTTTGCGTAATTGCCCTTGCCCATAGCCTGCGTAATGGTGGGTTGTTCTCCACGGTATGAAAATAAATAATAATAAGTAGGTGTCGGCTGCTTCCTCTGTGTCTTGATAATTGCCTTAATATCTTTAACGAAGTGAATGTCACTTATCAACTCCGACAGATTTTGAATTAAGTCCTTCCCAATTGGTTTATCGTTGAAATAAGCCTTCCTAATTGTTTTCTCCAACTCGGACACGTATTTCGGATCCTTCCAGCTCACGTTGTTGTAAATAAATTGTTGCAAATGTTTTTCGTACAAGTCGAGCGAGTGTTCGTCGATTCCTGGAAGGAATATTAAAATATTTAATTCCATTGGGAAAGTTCGCCAATATATACGTATATGTGTATAGATAATATTTAATATTAATAGTCTTCGTATGGAAATATGTCTTGAATTTGTAGTAATCAGGTCGACGAAACGTCTTATCACCTTTTAGGAACATGATGCCTTCGTTTGTGGTATGGCCAATCACAACGGGCACCTGGATCCCTTTTTCCGCGTATTTTTCCACCGGATGCGGAAGAAAAGGATTTTCCGACTTATCATCCACCCCCGGACCAATCGGTAGATTTAAAAACACATTTTCCTGTGCACATTGAACATCGGATAAGAATTAATTAATTAAAATAAATCCTCACAGAAATCCTCAAAAAATTTAGTTCCGGCTAAACGTCACAGACGGCGCCGCTGGTCGATTAGGGTACAAAAAATCCCGAATCCGCGGGAATATCGATAGTTTTACATCGATCTCGTAATTACTTTACGGAAATTACATTTTTAATACTGTGCCGTACCTCTGGAGTGATAATCTTCGTCTGCGCCTCCACGAGCTTGTCCACGGGAATTTCTCGGAGAAATTCGACCACTTCTTCGGGATCCGTAGACTCCGATCCGAGGATCTTTGCAATTTTGAAAGATCGCTCCGGAAGTCCTTGCCCATGAGCCCATTCGCATGTGGCCGTGCCACTTTGCATAATTGCTTTATGAAAAAGACCTGCGGGTCGTGGAAACGAAACTGTGCATCTTTCCTCTTAATTTTCGAACTAACCTAACAATCCAGATAATGGTGATAAATCTTAGTACTACCTTTTGCTAGTGGCGATAGTGTTAGGTAGTGCACGGAGGCGCCACCTGCACTTTCCCCGAATATAGTAACATTTTCAGGGTCCCCACCGAAAGCTGGTATATTTTCTTTAACCCACGACAGTGCTGCCACCTGGTCCTTCAGTCCTTGATTACCGGGAGCGAGTTTATGGTCCAAATTTAAGAATCCTGGGGAATAAAGAACAGAACTTCGAGATAGATATTAATGTCGGTAATGGGACGCGTCGTTTGAGGATCCAAAATGGCGTCGCCGGGAAAAACGGTACAGATGAAATTCACTTTATCTACGTCGATGAAATCTCCCCGCGCCTTTCATATCACCTTAATGGGGAACACTTACCAAGGACACCGAGGCGGTAATTAAATGTAACTAGGATGACGTTTTCTTTGATTAAGTAATCCGGTCCGACGAAAGTCTCGTTTCCGGATCCGCCGGTGAATCCACCGCCATGGATCCAAACCATAACCGGTCTTTTCTCATCCAAGGAAGTCGTGTAGACATTAAGGTAGAGACAATCCTCATCCCCGAAAAAGCTGAAGGGTGGAAGTTGCATCTGTTGTGCGCAAACATCCCCAGCATGTTTCGATGCATCTCTTACGCCACTCCACCCTGCCGGAGGCTGCGGGTCCTTAATCAGAGAAATTTAACATTTAAATTTCAATATTTAATGACAAATTAACATAGACTATTTTCTGTATAAACTTCTAGATACAGGCGAAAATGTGTCGTGTACGCTTCTGTGCTAAAACGAAGGAAACAGAAGATTTAGTTGGCACTGAGATCACAGATGGCGCAGGGGGTCCCTCTGCAGTCAATAAGGGCCTCAGAAATCTCATAAATTGGGTTTCTTTGTAGTAATCTTTCACTTTAAATGGGAAGTTATATTAAATATGCGTACCCTGAAAGAAGTTAGGTTAGGTGCGCGTGGTTACCTTAAATCTGAGGCTGCCGACAGGTGGCGCAGCGAACGGTATTCCCTTAAACGCGAAATATGAAGGGCCTAAAACGCTTTCCAACGTCGTTCCTCGCAATTCCCCTTGCTTCACTTTAATAACAGGAGAACTCATGATTTGCTCTCGAGCGAGTTAGATTAGATAACTCCACGGCGACGATTCTCCCTCGTTTATATCGGGCGTTTAGAGAGCATGCCTGATAACGAATCGCCGTGGCCTTGAAATCTGTCTTGGCATTTCTTTTCCTTCGGATTGTTGCTGACTCGTAATTTTTCGAGTATGAAATAAAGTGATTACGAAATCGTTTATCGGTGCTTAAAGAGATTACGCATTGTTTCCCGATAACTGATACTGTTTTTATGTAACGCTCCTGCTGCTGCCCATGGGGAGGATTTATTAATCCCAGGGAACTAAATTCTCGGGAAAAACCAGATCGACTCTCGGGAGTGGGAAATGAATTTTCTCACCTTTCGATTATTGGGAAATAGATTTCATGATTTATTGTCCATGTGTAGATGTTTCAGGAAACTCGATACAGTTTTGCGCCAAGTACGTATGCATCGATTTCTTCTTCATTGGGGAGGTCTTAAAGCCTCGTGGCGCCATCTAACAATCACTGAGAGATATATCACGACCTGCTCTCTTGATAAACTCGATATAAACGCGGAGCTCCGCGGATATAGGTGATACCTAAACCATTTCGAGTTACAGATTCCTAACAATGATAAGTGAAGGATTTATTTACTTTGCGAACGGTTTAAACTTTCAAGCCAATTATAATAGATAATAGATTATAGAATAATAAACAAATTTCGAGCCAAATCCGTTTGCGAGAAACGTCAAAAAAAAAAGCGTAAAGACAGCTCCCACTTGGAATCTTAACCCTCTAACTGGTGGCTCCGCGAATGGGATTCTGCGGAAGCAAAAAAACTCTCCACCAGCGACTTCACTCTACAATCAGCGTCATCTGGATTTTCGCAAATTAGCTCTTACGAATCTGCACATTTTTTAGTTCGCTGTTTCAAAACCACTCTTAAAAAACAAAATTGATTTCCCACTCAACGCCTGAATTTTCGATCTGTTCATAATAATTGTTATCGGTGATAGTGAAAACAAAGTCTAACAATAACTGAAACGTTCGAAGTTTTTAACAAAAATATAATTACGAAACTACTGGAGTTCGTTTCGTGAGAAAAGTAAGTTTATAAACAGGTTATACCTCGCGCATTCATTCTAATATACTCTTAAATGCATAATCGTCTTATCAGGCTCGATAAGTGGCATAATATACAAATAATACAAACTAAGTAATATATAAGTAGACTATATACAAATGCAGAAATTTACAAACATGATTCTAATGGGAAAGATCAATTTCCCAAGGTGCGCAAATCTTCGACGATCCTTAGCTGCTTTGTAAAAGCTCGACTGGCAATATTAAATCGGCTCTCGTTTTTCACAGCGCTTAATATAAATTTCATTTGCTTCGGGTGAAGTCAAGCTCCAAAAGTTTATCGCAGTCAATTTAATCTCGTCACTTCTCGTCGTCTGATGCAAATGATTTATTTTCATTCCCTTGTTTACTCTCCAGCGGGATGGGGATGTCTCCGTTCAATTCATCTTCTGCTGGCAATTCCACATATTTATAAGCCATCGCCATCAGACCGAATATTAACATGTCCACGAACATGAGACCGGCGAACAAAAAGAACTCCATGGCCTGAAACGTCAAATTTTAAGTAGACGTAAGTAGTTTTCGATATGGACTAACCTCACATTTAACATATTAGTAAGTGACAATTAAATAACAATTAACTATATGCATCGAAGGCGTTATGTTAAAACTTCAATTTCATCAAACGCTGTACTTGGCGCTCCGCTCTTTTATTACTCACCTGACTACTAACGAAAGCTCCTTCGGCAATGATAACCACTATCAAATTGCCGAAAGCTACCGTCAATAACCATCCAGCTTGCAAAAGAGACTTCATGCTAACCGGAGCTTGAGTAAACGCAAAAGCCAGTCCTGTTACTGAGAACATAACCTCTCCCATCGTTATGATCACGTACTGAGGCAGTAACCACATCATGTGTAACGAATTGGGTTGCGTAACAGTAGTAACATTTGCAAACATTGCTTTATCGGACATATATCCAACAATGGTGTAGACGCCTCCAAGTTTTAGCGAGACAGACTTCTTCACTGCGGCGTTGTTTAGATAAATATCATAAATCCCTGGATCCACTTCCATGATATGGGACGCCTCGAAAGTGGGGTTAACTTTGAAGTCCAGTATCGACTGTGCGTTTGACTTTATACTCAGGTTATTAGGTTTGCCTTTGAGACTTTTGTCGACGTACACTAAAACTCTAACTCCAGGATTTCCTGATCCTGTTTTATTGACAGCGTCAATGTAATTGTAGTCGATACCAGTGCGAGTAACAGCCCATGACGTTGCATTTGCCTCCGTTCCACTAAGAACTCCTGAAAGATTTTTAAAAGTAAATATTAAGAGAAGCTATTGCAATGAAATGCTTCTGGATAGAACCATTATTAACCCTTTGCGCTTCGTTGTAATTACTTAAATTAGTTAGCCAAGTTATAGAGTAATTATCCGTGGTGGGAATTAAATTAATTATGCACACCGTTAACTTTTCCGGACAAGTCGGAGAGTCCAGCGTAGCTACAGGCTGCGAAATTGGCAGTGTAATTCAGGTTGACTGTATTCTCAGTCTCGACGTGTCTTTCGTGGAAATTCAGAGCTTCCAATGTAAAACTCTCGTTGCCAATCATGATCGGGACGTTGCAGTTGAGAGGATTGAAAACCCTCAGCTGAGCCACTCCTGGAGAAGGCATTATAGGATAAGTTTTCTGCAAGAAGAGGAAATAAACTTATTAAGTGCAGCTTTAAGTGAAAAATATTACTAAAATATATATTTAAATCTTGTGGGCATGGGATACGTCGAAGACATACCTCGAGTTGAAGTTCCACAAGTGCGGAGACCACAAATGCAAGTCCTGCCAATAGTCCACCGACGGTCATCTTCCTTAACGGAGTGTTAATAAAATGAATTTTCGCGCATACTGGATAAAGACATGATTCGAAGATTGGGATGAAGATGAGAATAAGCAGGGGGTTAGCCATCTGCATCTGATCTGGCTTTAGAACGAAGTCTCCCATCTGACCATTCATCTTCGTAGCCTGGATGGTCCATCTGGATCCTTGTTGATCGAACAAAGCCCAGAAGAAAGGCAAGGGGATGAACAACGTCAAAACCCGAAGAGACTCTTTGATGTCTTCGATGAGCTTCGTGTCATATTCGTCATCGGCATGATCCAACCAGTGCTGTCTCACCTTCTTCGACTTGAATTTCTTATATATTCCATGCTGAAAATATAAACTCATCATTTTTAAGCACGCTTAACAAAGTGAACTTAACTTTGATGGAAGCAGTGTTTGTCAAGAGATGCCATTTATCGACAAATTTATTTTATATCGAAGTAACTCATAACAAATGAAGTGTATGCAGTTTTACAAGTCGAACGGTCTGGTTAATACCTATCGATATGTTCATCGAGAGACAAGACAGCATCTCCGACAAGTACATGAAGTGCTGCGTCTCATTACTCCAAACACAGCCCTACCAAGAATATATATTTTTTAAACAAGCAATGGTGCTTGGAATCTGATCTTGGATTAAAGAAAAACCTGACGATGGGTTACAAATTCCCTGAAAATACTCACCGAGATGCACTTAGTTACATTAAGCACGACATTCCCTTCGGGGGCTTTGATAGTGTACAAGCATTTTCCCAGTACGAAGGTAACTGAAAGAAAGAAATTAAAATTAAAGAAGAGACATAGGGAAGATGGAAAATAAATTTACAAGAATTCATCGTTAGGCATTTCTAATACACCATCGATATGCATTTGGTGCGAAACTCAATAGACCTTCCTAGTAGTACTGGACATTTAACAATGTTATTAATTGTTCCTTACCAATTGAGCATACCATAAGGACCGCAGGCACAAAGAAAGCCAAGGAGTAACAACTATTGTCTCCGAAGCATGCCACGTCGTTTCTGAATATCGGAGTGACGAAAGTGGAGAGCAAAGAGCCGGAGTTAATGGCGAAGTAGAAGAGCGAAAAGAACATGGTGAGCTGTTGTTCTTGTTGTGGGAGAACAAATTGGTCTCCTCCAAATGCCGCCACGCAAGGTTTTATGCCTCCGGTCCCAAGAGCTATGAGGATCAGGCCTAATATGGAGAATTCCCTGAAAAAGCCAGGAATTTAACATATTTATCAACCTTAAAGAAAAAGAGACCGCGCTCCTTTCCGCTAAACATTAATCTTTTGTACACGGAGCTATGTCGACGTATGGGCGAAATTCCCCTGACCGTGCAGGCGATATTCGACCAAACGTCGGGCGCTCTTAGTAGCCAAAGTGTTAAAGTGACACTACGTATATGAGGCGTGAAAATATTGATAAAAAATCTAATAATTCCAGCACATAATTATGGAGATTTTAAACGGATTTTATTAATGAAACTCTCTCTTTTTTTATTCCCAGAACCATTTTTACCCAGTTATTAATCTTTTTGGCGTACAATGTGTTCGTTGGGACGTTTTGCAATGAATCATTTCTGAACGTGTTAAAATACATAAATAATAACCAGCACGCTTCTTCATTGTCCTTGGAAGCGGATAACTTTATTATTATCTATAAAGTTGATAATTTCATCTACGTATCAACATATTCCAGCGATATATGCAGGTATAAATGTGCAGAATACATATTTTCATTCATGATAAAAAAAAAAGATTAAAATACCAACCTTGCTGGGATTCCCAGAGGAGGAGCTGCACTTGCGGACAAAAGAAGCTGCCCAATTGTGTAGACAATGCTCAGATACATTATTGTCTTGAATTTGCCAAGTACTGAGTCGGCTAACATAGCGCCGATTAATGGGAAAAAATATACGAGCATGGAAAATGCATGATATATCACGGTGGACGTGTCGTTGCTATATTTGAGAATATTGACGAGGTAAAGCACCAGGACCGCTGAAAAAAGGGAAAATTAATTAATAATTAATTTTCAACAATGTACCTCGAGTGAAATTAATTAGAAAATCCTTAATCAACGATCCAGACATTGTTTAATATCTGCTAATATTGAAACGATGAAATTATGCCTCCCACTGTTAGGCGATGAAATTATTCAAACATGTCTGATTAATTAATACTACGTTGGCGGTAAATAATTAAAATAAATTGTAATATTAATTTGTTTCTAACTCACCTCGCATGCCATAATAAGAGAACCTTTCGCAGAACTCATTGCCAACGATGAAAAATACGGACTTGGGATATTTATAAGTCTGAAACAGAATATGCGTTATGTAATACATCCATTGTCAGTTGTTTCGAGCATTTCAAGAAAGGATTTAATTTAAACAATTTTTATTACAACTTTAACATTAAATAGTGACAAAAAAAAATTGTCACTTATCAACATTTATTCAGTGTAACTGGTATTTTTTTTTAAGTTTTTGGAGCACTCATTGTTAGAAAGCACGGAAAAACTTCACGTGTTAGGAAATGCTTTGTTTCACAGGAGACAATGGGTTAAAAAATTAGTATTCTGTGTCGTTGCAAGGTAATCACTTCCGGCGTTTCAATTACCACTTCAAGAAGAGTTTAATGCTCACAGCGATTTTTAACTGACCATTTTATACCGCGATAAAACATTATGGTGATATGAAATATGCTCAATATACATTCAATATATATAAGACGTCAAAACACGTGGAGCTAACATTGAAAAAATATTTAAAAAAAAAACAATATTCTAATGCAAATGTTTTGCAAATCTTTATAAAATCCAGGATATTTATTAAATATATAAGAAGTATAAGAAAAATATTTTTTACTATAAATAAAAAAAATATATATAAAATATTTTTTACTACTAGGGATATCGAGGAATGATTTACACCTTCGAACAAATTAAACTAAATCATCCGAGTGACTTCGTTGAGCCGTTCAATTATTTATTTATAGACAACTTATGCAAATTTAGCCTAGAAGTCAACCTTGTGTCTTTAAATTAGTTTCGGCCTCGTCGATCCACTTCTCGTGCTGATTTCTCTTAGAAAGTATTATTTCCAAGGTAATTAATGACTCTCCACGGAATTATCAAATCAACCGAAGTATTGCGATTTTTTATACGCTGAGAAAAAAAATATTTAAGTAATTAAAGAGTAATTTTATTCGAATTAACTCATTGATTAGTTATAATTAGTGAGATCTGCTTTGGCAAATTATCAGTGATAAGGAATGCGAGGGTACTTATCATTTGGTAATTTTTTTTAATTCCCTTGATTACCAGTGACTCCATCTCGCGGATAATTGTCGCACTACTTGGCGGTAATAATTAATCTCCGGGAATTCCGCAGAGCGAGTTAGGCTTAAAAATGTCGCCAATGAACGTGAGAAGATGGATATCATTTTAATCATAAGCAATTCTTGAGTCTCTCAAGGTATTCCGTTGCGCAACCGACCACTTAACCTACAAATCTGCAAAACTTGCCGCGACCTCGAATTAAAACCGAGTTTATTTCCTCACGGATTGTTAAGTTAAAATAATAGAATCTTCGTAAGGACTTTTAAAATAATAGAATCTGAACGAAGTGTCTAGTTTTAATAATTTAGAGGCGCGTATGAGAATTATATTAAATATCTATAAGAGAAATATTTTGCGCTAAAGTTGAATTAATATATTGATTGAATAAACGTTATTAAAATAAATAATTTTCGCGGTGTAGCTGCGCGTGAAGCTGAAGGAAAATCTCTTATCACCTTGACTTGGTTTCCGCGTTCCACCATGACGTGTCCCCTAGGCACGAGGTAAAATAACCCTAGGAAAAAACTAGACCGAAATATTCCACTGACACTGGGGGACCCAATGCACTTGTTAAAAACAACTCGAAACACAACCACGAGGCGGAAATTAATGCGGAATATGTTCTTGCGGGAAAACGAGCGACGTTGGCGACATCTGGCGCAGCCCTTGCGGGATTTTCGGAAAGAACTTTTACGCAGCGCGACTCCTTCGACTTTAGCTCCTCGACTCGCAGAGAAGTAGCGTCGGTGACGAGCATTCGGAACGACGTGAAAGTAACTACGAGACACAAATACCAACGTCGGAACCTGATTTTAAAAGAGGGGATATGTCTATCTCGAGTAAACGTACAGTGGAAGGATCTCCGAGATGTGCATTCGGGTCACTGCGAGGTACATGCGTGGCGTTTAGTAATTCTTCGGATTTTTTTGCATTTCAATCTTACCGAGAATCTTACGGTCATTTAAAGGAAACCCTAGAGAATTTAAGAACATTTAATTCTTATTTAAGAGAATTTATTCCATATCGAAACTACTCACAAGGAAACACGGCATATTTTCAACCACTCTAAAGTAATGTTTAATATTTATTTTTAACAAACAATTCGGGAAAGTTTAATTTTCCACGACTTGTGCAGTTTATCAGCACTGTTTCTTATCACAGCTAAGCGGAAATACTGAACGTTCGAGTCGAGGGGAAATACTTATAAAGAAATCGCTCATGGCCGAACTTTTTTTGTTAAACATTTTACTCTTCTAGGTCGTCGAAAAATGTTGGAAATGTCTGTTAACATTATTATCTATGAAAGTGGTATATTTAAAGTATTGCAAAAGAAAGCTTTATCGTAACGCTTATAAATAATTCTTACTTAAACGTGCAAAATATATGCAAAGTATATCATACGTATATCTTACAGATATATTCTGTAATTTCGACAGATCTATTATTTTTCTTTATCTTGCAAAAACTTGCCTTATTCAACGACTCCGTGTCGGCCTCCGAAATCGGGTGACCTGAAAAAACATTGAAATTTATATTGCAAAATAGACATAACATTACACAATGTGCAAAAAGTACGAAGTGGTACATTAGTTTCAAGCTTTCTCTCCTTAAAAATCGACAAGTGGGCACCTGGCTTTCCTTGTCACCAGAAAGGACTGTCTTGCATAATTTCATTTCATTTCGGAGTATGCAAATTAAGTAGAAGAACAATAAACTAAGAAACCTGCAAAAATGCGTGCAGTTACGTTCCTTATGCAATCAGGCCGAAGACTTTTATTGCCTTCGGGAAATTACCTTGCAGTTAAACTACTTCTACTAAACTTCACGTTTGTAAAGTCTCAAGTCGACGCAAGAAAAAAAAAAGAAACGAAGTAATAAGTATCAGAAAGTCTCGAGCGCTAAGGGTCATTTTCCGGAGACCGGTCAAGCGAATATAGACCTTACGCCTACCTCAAAGTGAATATTAATCTATGTATAAATTATGTTAATTGTGAAATGAGACAATTAGTACCTTCACCATTGTTACTGGATGTCGTTGGCTCATTTGGTGTCAAGTTTGACATGTCAATAAGACAAGTTTTCTTTTTTTTCTTATACTTTACACTGTGGCTACAACTCGACGACTGATTAGAGCGTGATAGTACACTCGAGTTATTAAAAATTTCCGATCTTATCTTCGGATTATTGCTCCCTGACCGGTCTTGTCAACTAATCATTGCCGGTATTTTATCAGATCCAAATATTAAGGACATTATCGGTCTATCATCTTTTTTAGCCGCGATATGCAAGTTACGCACTAGTGCTGCCCTCTGCGGCGGGAAACGGAATTAAACGGACACTCTTGAGTGTACCAGTGACGTAGTAGCATAGAATAAAGAGTAAAGAAAACGTTTTGCAAATACTTAAAATGTCTGGTAAATATTTAAAAAATGTATGATATTTGTTAAATATATATAGAAAATATTGGAGAAATATTTTGTTCTGCTATCGTCGGAAAATCTGGAACGACGGTGTTTCCCCGCAGGAAATAACTCGGATTTCATTTACACAGATTGATAAGTCATATCTCGAGTGGAATCCAACACGTAATAAATATTTATCGCCGCTTGTAGCTTTATAAATATTATAACGCTTTGTATACATATACAATATCGTTCATGCAGTAATTTGCAGGATAATAATTACACATAGCAAAAATGCGATAAATAATTATCGCCGATCCCTAGCCTCGATATACAAATTTCTTAAAAAATTTGTCAATAGTTGTTGGCACTTTGTCAAGGAGTTAACAATTGTTTATTGGGACATTGTTGGGACATTCTCTGGTATGAAAATTTATCTCAACGCGTTGGCCGCCGATTTTACCGAGGAGGAAGAAGACGTAGGTGATAACGTAGTGAGTGGGCCTGATAATCCACACGCGCAAGTTTGCAACAATGTCGGCTTCAACAAAGGGAATTCTTCGCGACTATCTGGAGCGACGCTGGAATCGGCCTCCAGAACGACGAAACTATATTTCCGCACCATTATTGCGAATATCACCATATTGATAAGGATCAAGGCTGCGAATAAGAAGAACTCGTGCGCCTGAAAGAAAAAATTAAAAATTAAAATCCTTGGAAATTTTCCCAATTTACATGATTAACTATTATTTCTTACAGAATGAACTCCTTTCCTAGTCGTACAAATTAAAATAAATAATATAGAGGTCTCTAGTTTCCACGTGGAACTGATATTTTTTTTTCTAGATATGTTTATGTTCCTCAGAATTTATTTAAGGTGGGTTTCGCGTACTTTTTCGATAGATTCGGAAATTCTCCGCTTTGAAGTTTACGAAACGCGGAAGAATCGTTTAATTTGATTAGTTTTAGTGCGTTTTAGACGCGGAGGAATATGCGAGGTGGGAGCGATCTTCTAGGTGGGGGCAAAATGGCCGACTAGAGGGGGAATTGCACAGCGCTGTACGCGCAAACTGGTTAATCAGCTCCATTATAATAAATGACGTACTTGGCTCCTGAAGAAGCGAGCTTGCGTAATTATAATGACCATTAAGTTGCCTAGCGCCACGATGACGTACCAAGCAGCGATAGTGACCGTTTTCATACTATTAGGAGCCTGAAAATAACCATAAATAGTTTCTAAAGCGATTTTGTGGATTACTAAAGTCTTCTAAATTCTTGTACAATTCTCCTGAGTTTTTTATTCATCGTATCAGAACGTTTAATGATTGTATGCCGATCGAAGCACCAAACGACGCCATCTTGGTTCCAGTCTAGACTAAGGAAATGGTTGTATTAATTATTGTTTGATTAATTGGCACGCACCTGAGTAAAGGAGAACTCTAGACCGGAAATCGCAAACATTACGTCTGCTATGGATATTAAAAGATATTGCGGGATCAGCCAGAACATGTGAATCTTATTTGGTGGCGTCATCGTGAACAATTTGTGAAACTGCAAATTAATTATTAAATAATTAATAGAGCTAAATAATTAACATTTCTATCTTACAAAAATGTTCTTCTATGAATGTTCATAAATTTAAAAAACCAAATGTTGTCATTGAGACTCTCAACAAATCTTTCATGTCTTCGACATCTTGGAAAATTCGTCGCTTGAGATATTTAACAAAGATTACTGCGTAAAGATGTGGAAATTAATATCTTATAAATTATAATTGTTTTAAGTAAGACCCACGACAATGTTGCCTGCGTGTTCTCTCACTACGAGTAAATAAACGGCTCCTAGATCGAGGTCAACAAAGTCTTTGTGCCGTGCATCGGGGTCGTCGCCATTTTGAACGGTGTACTGAAACCTAAATAAGAAATTAGGATAATTGCACCTGCAGATACATTATAAATAAACTTGCACTCATTGTCTTTGACCTTCCGGGTTCCAATTCCATATAAGTAGACTCGGAAAGTGATTTTTTATCCGGCACGAAGTACTCGTCTTGTAGTCCACTTTTCCCACTCAGAGTAATTGTTACGTTCTTCAAACAAGATGTGTCCCTCAGGAAGATCACTCTGTAATAAATCAGTAATGGAATTAAATACCCCATTGAGATATTCAAGAAATATTTTAGACACCAGACAATATTTTAAAAATTATTCCATGCTTTTAGCAGTGTATGTATTTGGTGCGAAACGCAATCGAGTTTTGTAGTACATTAATTTTTTTTAATAATCACCGAAGTTTTGGATTCCCATTTAAAGACTTCTTGTAGTCGTCTGGGTCCATAGCAAAAAGAGCAAGATCTCTGCCCCTTAAGAATGATATGAAAGTGGAGTTTTAAAGGTGTCGATCCTTCGGTTTGACACTTTACTCCGAACTGAATGTGTCGAAGCACTTCGAAGCTTATAATATGAACATGAAGGTTGTAAAACTCTGGTTAATTATCTACAGAGAATTAAAATTCATGGGTGCGAAGACTTTACATATAGCCTCCATATTAATATTATAAACAATTGACCCTGCTACTTTCATATCACCTTAAGCCTATCAACAAAGTATCAACTTTATATTCCGTGACGTTGACTTCTATTGTTAATGTTGGATTAGTAAGTTGAAGGTCCCAGCATCCAGGAGGTGCGACAAAGTACAATTTGTATGTCGTGAAATTGTGTACGGAGACATTAAACACTTGTTTGTCCCCTGGACCGATGGACAATTCAGATTCGAAGGGTGCCAAAAAACCAACATCGCAGCCCAGAGTGTTGACCAAGTTCAACGTAGCTTCTCCTTTATCGGGCAACACTGGATAGGTTTCCTGAAATTGTACATACAGAATGTTAAATAGAATTTCAATTAAACATTTCTCCTATTGCAAAAAGTGCTTGGAAAACACTCATCCAGACTTTGACGATAAACTGTATCCCTCGAAGCAAAGAAAATTGACATACGATAAGTACCTATCGCAGACGAAAGGAATATAATTGCAGAAAAGCATACCTTCTGTTTTCAGAACATGCTGTTGTATTAATAGAAGCTTAAGTAGAGGTTTATAATTACTTGTAACTTCAATTCCAACAATCCGCTGGCTATGAATGCCAGGCCTGCGAATACTCCTCCGATAATCATTCGCTGAAGTGGCGAATGCAACAGTCTTAATTTCCCAAGCGTGGGATAGATACTTTTATCAAAAAGCGGGATCAGAAAGAGCACAATTGCCGGATTAATCACCTGCAGGGAAAATATATATGTTGATATATAAAAATAAATTGTTAGGGGAAAAACTTAGAAGCTTAATATTTTATTAATAATATTAATTTCTACCTGCATCTGGTCTGGCAACATTTGAATTCCCAGAAATTCTCCGTTCATTCGCGAAGCCTGAAACGTCCATCTGGATCCCTGGCTCAAATAGTAACTTATAATTAATTACGATGAATTTTTTCTTTTTAATTTGTTTATAAGTGCTTTTTAAATTTTGTCGAAGGGAATAAAAATGTACTTATGTAGTGATGTGCCGATATTGTACCTGCTGATCGAAGAGACTCCAGAAAAGGGGCAGCGGTATGTACAGGAATAAGATAGCGAGTACTATCTTTATGTCAGCTATTAATTTCAATGAATGTTTCTCTCGAGCATAATCCAGCCAGTGATTGTATACTCGAGAGGTGTTACGAGCAGTCAATTTTCTCCTCGCAGCGAACTAAAAAAGGAAACATTAAGAACACTTCGATAGAAATACTTGAAGGAGCTGTCATCACCTGGACTCACCAGAATGCAGTTAATAAAGTTTAACATAATATTCTCCTTTGGATACTTCAGACGATACAGTGGTTTCCCAAGTGTAAATAATACTGGACGTAGAAAAGATATATAACCTTACTTATGCATCAAATTGTATAAATGGAATTATATTAAAGGTTAAAAAGAGATAAATCTCTTTGGGAATAAAATATCTTCAGACATTACGTAAAGCAGTGACCATCAGGGCTGCGGGAAATCCAAATCCAAGAGCGTAGCAAGTGTCATCGCCGAAGCAAGTGAGAGCCTTTCTCAACATTGGTGTTAATATCATCCCAACGAACCCTCCGAAGTTGATAGTGAAGTAGAAAATTGAAAAGAATTGCTGCAGACGTTCCTGTTGCTGTGGTAAATGGAATTGGTCCCCTCCGAAGGCAGCTACGCAAGGTTTTATTCCTCCCGTGCCCCATGCAATTAATATTAGCCCAATGTATGTAAATCCACTGTTAAAGGGGATATAAACATTTAAATAATTCACACAATTCACTATTATTACACTTAGCAGAAAAGACATTAATGATCGACTGACTTACGTAGGGGAAATTGCAATCGGAGGAGTTGCCGCAACACACATTAAAATGTTTCCTACGGCATAGATTATGGAGAAGTATAAAATCGTCCTGGAAGAAGGAAAGAAATACAAGTGGATAAATAAATTTAACTCCTAAATATATTCTCAATTGATGATAAAATATGGCATACCTGAACCGTCCTAAATAACTATCTGCGAGAATAGCACCAACTACGGATATGAAATAACACAACATGATGAAAACATGGTAGATCACCGTCGCTTCATTTTCATGGAACAGTAAGACGTTCCTCAAATACAGGGAAAGAATCGCTGCAATTTTAAGACAAATACCTTTTACCATTAAGCGTATAAGTTAAAATTAATATTAATGCAGAGAAGTTAACCTTACTTCGCAACCCACAGAAGGAGAACCTCTCGCAGAACTCAGTGGCAATAATAAGGAATATCGATCGTGGATATTTGTCGGCATCCTAAAAGGAAAACAATGTTATTAAATTGCACATGTGTTAATTCCTATTTTCATTACAATTCTAAATTTCATTCTAATTCTATTTTAATTTATTTCAGTGTGTGCGTACAGTTTTAATATATTTTTAACAATTTAGAATATACCTGCTCTGCGCTTTTCTTCTCGGTCTGATTGTGGTCGCATACCTGTTTTCCTTGCATTTGCTTAATATCAGTATTTTTAGAAATTGCATTAATTTCAAGAATGAATAATCCAATAATTCTTTGTCACGTGGGCAGATATATACCTACGAAGTATGATTTTGACAGTTGACATCTCTAGTGACAGGAAGAACAGTTCTACATAAATTAAATATTCATAAAACATATATAGGAGAATGATAAAAGTCCAATTGAACATCGTGAAGTTGTAAACTGATCCTAAATTTCATTGTTTCTTTTCTTCATTTCACTCTGGATATAAAAAAAGTAGAAAGACCTATTCAAATTTGGCGCCACGTTTTGACATCGCAATATGGCCGCTCCCCACCTTGCGGCTAAACATGGCGAATCCACGTAATTCGACGAATGAACCCACGTGAGATGAAAGTGCGAGAAGTGAGCGCTCTCGTCGAAACCACGTAACGAACGCCCTACTCGTTTCAATGAATAGTCTCGGATTTTCACCAGCAGAAACGTTCGGTAATACCGCGAGCTCCTCATGTTTCACATTTTCGCTCGATTTGCTTTACGTAATAGACCCCATGCTCTGAGATGGGACTTCGGGCTCGTCCATATATTCTTACGTCATGGTTTACACAGAGGCGAGTGCGGCCACCGGGATGTCAACATTCGTGCCAATTGCCGGGAAGGAGGGAAAATAGAAAAAAGGCGCTGGCTTCGAAAAGAAGTGTCGAGAACGGCGACCCGGTTAGGACATGGCGGAGCCCCCGACCGAGGGCGACAGTTTTTCGGCCAGGGGCGGGGGCAAGGGGCCTTTTCTCGTATCGGAGTAAGTGGCGCACCAGACGCTTGATTTTGCGCACCGCGCGATGGGATTCGACGTGCATCGGTTTCAGGGCGACGTCGACGAGGAACTCCTCTGTCCGATTTGTTCCGGAGTCCTGGAAGACCCCGTGCAGGTATCCGTCGACCTTAAGTGCCCCGGCGGCGTGCCACTCCTAACCTAACCTAAACTCATCTCGACTGCACTCTTTTATTAACACCCTAGAACACGTATACTCGATGTTGCTCACGTTATTCCATCCCTCCCAGGGCGTTCCTAGGGCTCTTTGTTTTATCCACCCCTCAGCGTTATTTAAATCATCACGATAAGGAATTAATCAGTTATGGTTTTTATTATTCCATTTTAATGTCTTGTTTTTGTTCAGCCAAATTGATATGCAGCGGTTCATAAAATGTTACTACAAATCGTTATTCAAAGTTTTGAATCAGGGTTCCCGACGGAGAAGTTTTAGGTTAGATTAAGAAACCGCCGGGCAGAGTCTGAGGACTGGTAGGTGAGCGATGTGTTACAGGCCTCGGCGTGCGAGCATGCCTTCTGTCGAGTCTGCATCAACGAGTGGATCAACCGACAACCGACGTGTCCTTTGGACCGGACGCCGATCACATCGGCGCAGCTCCGAACGGTGCCCAGAATCCTGCGGAACCTCCTATCCCGGCTGTGTATCAACTGCGACAACGCAATGTACGGCTGTCAAACGATGGTCAAGTTAAACAGCTTGACGACTCACCTGGAGGAGTGCGAGTTCAACCCGAAGAGGCCGGTTAGTTGCGAGCAAGGCTGCAGCGTCATCATTCCGAAGGACGAGCTGAAGGACCACAACTGTGTGCGGGAACTCAGAAAGGTCATCAATGTCCAAAAGCAAAAGCTGTCCGACATGAAACGGGAGCTGACCGAGCAACAGTTCCAGATGAACGAACAGAAACGAGAGATCAACCTGTTGAAAGACTTCATGAGAGCCATGAGGGTGTCCAATCCAGCGATGAGAGCCATCGCCGATCAGATGGAGAGGGATGAGGTTCTCCGGTGGTCCGCTACGCTACCTCGGGCAAGAGTCACCAGGTGGGGCGGCATGATCTCAACACCTGACGAACTTCTCCAGGTAGTGCTATCTATCACCATCGTCTTGACATTTCTACGCATCGCTGCTAAGATACATTGTTTCGTACCAAATTCCATATGAAATGTCTTCGTGGCTCGAAGTGCTATTTCGTTTTATCTTAAATTTGAGGTTTTATTAAACACGTTTGATTCTAAAATGCTGCTTTAAATGTCCACAGACAATGATCAGAAGAACTCTCTCGGAGCACAACTGTCCACCGAACATAATCGACGAACTGATGGAGAACTGCCACGAGAGAAAATGGCCACCCGGCTTGAGCTCCCTGGAGACCAGACAGAACTTCAGGCGACAGTACGAGAATTATGTCTGCAAGAGAGTCCCCGGGAAACAAGCCGTCCTGGTGCTTCATTGCGACAACCAACACATGCCCGAGGACATGATGGTGGAGCCTGGTTTAGTGATGATCTTTGCACACGGGATAGAATAAGGACGATATAAGTGTACTATAAGGTGGCCGATGACTACTATGTAATTGCGCAAGAAACTTTCTAGTATTTACAACGCGGTCTTATGGTGCCGTGGAATGAAATAATTCCCGCGACATCTGGTGACGTCCGATTCAAATAACGCGCGCGAAACTTGGAGGCGATAGATGCAACCTCTGGTGGCGTTCAATTCAAATAACGCGCGCAAAATCTGGCGGCGATCGACGCGATCTCTGGTGGGGCCTAAGCGAGGCGGCACGGTTTTCGCCGCAATGGCTAAATCCGACAAAATCTTTCGTACATTCACTGTGATATGCGTACACCTTTTTCGTTTTGTTCGATGGTACCGCAACTGTGTGATAAATAGAGAAACAGTCAACGTTATTCCGATATATCGGCGAGGCCTAGCACACTATCGCGCGTTTCTAACCCCACGGACTTAACCTCAAATTTGGGCATTTTATAAATTGGGTTGGTTACAACGATCAGTGTTTAATATATATATACATTCAAAACTGCGTTTACTGTCGCAGGACTTTTGTATGTGTATGTGTATATTTAGGGACAGTTACAAATACGTTCCCTGTGCGACTTCGTAACTAAAAGATAAAAGATAACCTCGTGGAGTCGCCTCGGTTCGTACTTCGTCCGTTCTTTCTTTCTTTCTGTTCTTTTCTTTTGCTGCGAGAACTTTCTATTGGAGGTGCACAAACGGGAATTAGTTCCAGGTTAGTCCAATAGAGCGTTCAGGAAAAATTGTATTGCTGCACAAACGAGAATTAGTTCCAGGTTAGTCTGATAGAGCGCCCAGGAAAAATTGTATTGAAGGTACACAAACGCGAATTAGCAACAAATTGAAAAGCCGAACAGACAGGAAAATACAAAATTAATCCTAACAACGTACTATAATTAGAAATAATTATTAATTCATACTTTTCGTGTATAGAACGATTTACCGGGGTTTAGTTTTGTACGTAATGTTTGAAACAATTTACAATAATTATGTATTACTACGTAACCGCGGTTGGAATGAACTAAGCTACTATTTTTCACTATTGTAGCTAAATTGTATATCATTCGTTCGATAGTGTACTGTTGACTGCTTTTGCGTCGGGATTGAAGTAAATAATAAAAAGGAATGCTTTTTTTCCGTTTCAGGTAAGTATAGAGGTTTGTTGGTATAGTATAGTATAGTATAGTATAGTATAGTGAGTTGGCTTGTTTAGTTGCGTTCGACCTTCCTCACATTTTACCTCCTCTGTAATGATTTTTTGGAATTTCCAGAGAGTAGCAGAGGGGATCCTTGACTTGGACTTTACATCGAGCCCCCAGGAGGTGGCAGGATGCTCTACGAGGACTCACCCTGGAGAAACGAGAGAAGGAGCTGGCGACAAGACTGGACAATTTGTTAATATTCTTTTAAACGCGTTCGAGGACTTATGTACTTGCGGTACCCGAGGTATAATAAACTGTAAAACAATTAATGCAATAAAGCAACTTATTGAACGATAACAATGAGTTTAATTAGACGAGCATGTCTAGCGAACCCTCTAATCGCCTGTTCCTGATCCTTGACAATCACTTGTAGACCTAAGTTAATGTTAAGTTTAAACTCCTGAAAATTTTGCTCGGGAGAATTCCGTGCCACCTCCTCGGTTATCCTATGTTCCTGTTACAAATCGAAAATTTCCACCCCTAAAATTTAACCGTGCCACCTCCTTGGTTGTCCTATGATCCTGATCCATCGCTGGCGATTTGTAACAGGAACATAGGATGGATAAAGAGGTGGCACGGTCTTCTCCCGGGCTCAATTCTTAGGGGTTGAAATTTTCGATTTGTAACAGGAACATAGGATAACCGAAGAGGTGGCACGGTCTTCTCCCGGGCTCAATTCTTAGGGGTTGAAATTTTCGATTTGTAACAGGAACATAGGATAACCAAAGAGGTGGCACGGTCTTCTCCCGGGCTCAATTCTTAGGGGTTGAAATTTTCGATTTGTAACAGGAACATAGGATAACCAAAGAGGTGGCACGGTGTTCTCCCGAGCATAAATTTTAGGGGTTGAAATTTTCGATTTCTAACAGGATAATAGGACAACCGAGGAGGTGGCACGGAGTTTCGTGCCACCGGATCTGGAATAGGCATGGGATACCATTCACTCAACACGTTTACCGAACAGCCAACCAAATCAATAACTAACAATTCAACGTGTTCCGTTTCATATTTATTATGCAATTTACACGTCGAGTATAAAGTATTTGCACATTTGTACAGAGAAACATGCCCGGCATAAAACGTTCTATTAAAAGCGAACAGTCAAGATCCAGTCTTTAATAAATCCAGTAAAGTAGCGTAACCTCCACTCGAGGACCGTTCAAACGGGAAAATTTTCTTAAAAAATCAAGGGGAACTACCGATTTCTCTCTTCCTAAAAATGTGAATTTCGTGGCCGATCCCTCTCAAAGTTCCGTCAATCTTTTCCTTCTCCTCACCGACTTATCGTCTTCGCATCCGCACCGAAGGAGCCGAAAAGAAAAACAAATGCCCCCCTCAACGTGCTACGGTTCTACCACGAATTAGTATAAGGACGGCGACTCGAAACACGAAAAATACGGATTCGCATTAAGTGCAAGAATCAGTCTCCACGATTCAGCCTCGTCCAAGAGCTGGCCATTCCTCTCAACCGACCGATGACTTATGAGTTAGAAAAGTCAAAAAACTGGACTTCCGCAAAAACACTCGATGAAAAACCAGGCTTAGAAGACACGTAGAGAGAAATTAACAGTTTACAAGTTTCTCGATTTTTTCTTTAATTAATCACCGTTCAAAAGCGACGCGAAACTCGATCCGGAGTTCGCAGATTCGTTCCCAAAGTTCATGGGTCTAAACGAGGATATCCAGAATTAAATAAAATATATATGTAAAACGTAAAATCGTTCGAATAGGCGGTTTAGAAAATTCCCCCTATAGACCGAACGTCGCTTGAGCTGTCTTTCTTTTTCCTCAACCCCAAGTGTCCATTTTTTCCTGCGTATTTTCTCTCCGACTCTCGGGAATACGGTTTTTCATCGGACGATTTTGCGCAAAAAGTCGCGTGTGTGCACAGTGCTAACAATGCGCGCAGGATGTGCGATGACAATTAACATACAGCTTTTAATAACTATACAAATCCCTCGTGTAAAACTCTCGTCTTAATTGGGCTAGGTTTTCCAACAAAGAAACGCACATTCGCTTCATCCATCCTCGAAAGATGCGTCCTCCGCTTTGTTAATAAAAAAAGAAAAAAAAAAGGGAGAGAAATTACTCGATTCCCAAATAAAAGGGAAAAACAACTGACGACCTCGCGATTGTCTGGTACGCACTTAAAAACGTGATATATCGAAGGGGAAAAAAAAAAGAGCAGTGCAAGTAACGATAAGGGAGTCCTTGTTTAATTGTTAGAACATTTAGCCCAATCGCGACTGCCTTGTCTATTAACATATCAATATGCGTCTATATACGTATTTAGGGTGTAACCTCTATCCAGGTTAAATAACATCCGTCCCGAATATCGTAGTAAATATTAATATATATATATATATACATATATTAATATATATATATATCGTGCACTTTGCCTCACTGCGCAAACGCGTATATAAATAAATACGACACGCCCTGGCATGTTTATAAAACACCGACGTTTAACCTCTGTTAAATTTTAACAAATCCGCCTCCCCCGTGTTCAGCTGCTCTCGGAAACAATTTGCGAAGTCGCATGCAAAACCATTGTTTCACGATCGCGGGTAAATGGCAATATATTTGCATATATTCTTCCTCCTCTTGGAATTAACGACAAAGTTGAACCCATTTGCCACGAGAATAATATGTCGCGGACGTTGCGAATTTCCGGGAGATTACATGCAACGCGTAAATAATAAATTCTTAAACCTTCGCCGTTTAATATTAACCATTGAACTAATTTACAAATACGGGCAAACGGTGCAAATTCGCAAAGTCCCTGGATGTTTAATTCTATAACTTCTAACTCACCGTCGAACTTGTTTGCAAAAAAAACAAAAGGAAAAATATGGCAAATTTCTGGCCACTGTTTCTCGACCACGTTGATACAACAGTACATTGCATATACCTCCCCTCTTTGCGTATAATTCGGTTGGCCATTTCCGGTGGTCAACCTGGTCTGCAGAAGCCGAGGGCGAATGGTCTTTTGCAGACGTTGCACGTTTGCAAATTAAAGTACACCTCTAGATCGAGAGAACGCGCCGCTTTTCGTTCCTTTTTCTTTCTTTTTCTTTCTTTTTTTCTTTTCCTTACAAGAAGTCCAAATGTCTACCATCGATTGGCGAGGAGATTTCAAGGATCTACGAGTCCGATATCCTTACTTCGAAAGAAAATTTCCAAGCAACTCCACCGAGGAATTTTGACGACCAAAGGTAAACGGTAAAAACGTACATTGTACATTTTCGTGTAAGCACTAAAAACCATTAAGGTGCACATAAAAAAACTGTGCCCTGCAAGTCCCACACTCTCGCGATCTGCGCTTTAAATTCGAATCGCCCGCTCGAATGACTCGTGTGAATTATTCACGTATACGTAAAAATATACATTAACGACTCGCATGAACGTCAATCGCCTCGTCAGATATTTCCTACTTAACGATTCGCAGATTCCAGTCATACGAAAATGATTCTAGCTTAGCTCGGTCGTTGATCCTTGAAATGCGCAACAAAATGTGGCACATATCGACGCATATATATGTACAATACATACCGAGGAAGAGTCAATCTAATTCATATCTCACGCGGTACTGGAAAGGAGACTGCCCTCCTTCGGTTTCCCTCTTCTTCCCGTTTACCGACACCCTCCAGGCTGTCATTTCTTGGTGTCCTCTTCGCTGGACCAGCGCTTCTCCTGCTCCTGAAGTTCGTACTCCCATCTCAGCTCCAGCTCGCGCATATCATTCGCTAGGCCGGCCTCGTACGTGTCCTCCTTGTGCACATTTACGTTCACGTTAAAACACGAAGCAGAGGAGGTAGGTATCATGATTTGGGATGGAAAATTCCTTGAGTAAATACCGACGATAAAATAAAATAAAGACAGTCGTCAGCGGTCAGTTTCACATTCTACTGAGATAATGGTACTATTGGCGTTTTAAAAATTGATAGTAGTGTAAACGAATTGTCCGGTTACCTCCTCTGATTTGTAATCCCGACCCACTCCGTGACCGGCCAGTAAATTGTTCGGGGGCTGGATCCACGGTATGCTGCCGTAAGGACTCCAATTGCGGACATCCTTCTCCTTCTCGCGGATCCCCGCTTCGACCATTTGCAATTCCTGGGTCAATCTCTCCCCCTCCGTAAACGGTCCTTGGGTAGCGAGCTGAAAAGACCCCGACATTCATTCGTTAAAATAAATATAAACATACGACGCGCATTAAATCATCTAAATATAAAATTCCATTAACGCTCAAATGCCAAACGAACGTCTATTGCATTTGTCTACTTTTCCTTCCCAAAAAGGAAACTTTGCAACATGTACGTACTTTCAAATCGTTGATCTTCTTCTCCAAATGTTTCAACTGCTGTTTCACCTTCTGCGACTCCAGGATCAAGCTGAAAGTGCGATTCACTTATCATAATCAGAATTTCTAGCCTAACCCACTTCGGAAATTGTGGTTCAAGCGTTAATGCCGAAGATCGTTTCAGGAACGATTTTTCACTTACTCCTTGGACATTGACTCCTGCCTCGTCAACTCCACCTGCGAGGGGGTCTCGTTAATCCCACGACCAACCGTGATGAATCCATCCCCAAGACCAGGGTTGGCTACCGGTTGCATTCCGCCGTTTCCTCCCAGCGAAGTAAAGGCTGCAGAGGAAAAAGAAATTCGTCTCCTATTTTCTATCCACGTCTTTCCATTTTATCATGTAATTGGAACATGTCGCTTACACTGGTGACCGTAGTACCAGGACGTTACTGCATTGGCTGCAGGAATCGGTCGAACTGCTGGCATGGGTCCTTCGCTGTACAATCCGGCAGGTTGCACGCCATTGGCTGGTCTGTGATCGAGATAAAAAATGGAACGTTCAAGAAAAAATGTTCAGATGTTACGAAATGGTCATTCTATATACGTACGTTCATCACCTGACCCGTTACAATATATATATATATATATGTATAGAATGACCCTTTCGTACCACCTCAAGCCCTGGAAGGTTCAAGAAATATAATCATCGAAAGGAAAAGTAAATTTATCATCTCTTGAACGTTGGATACGAAGTACCGTACCTGAGTAGCGACTTCGAGAGTCTGGAGATCGGTCCGTATTTGCTGGCCGGAGTCGCCTCGAAGGGAACGAACTCGTCGTCCAGTAAAATGGAGTCCGACCGTCGGAAATTTCCTCCGTAATTTATGTTCCCCGCAGGAGAGAGCTGGCCTCCTGGGGCGTTCGCCCAGATGGAAAAGCTCGGGGACAAAGGGTCGCCTTGGGAGTGGTGGATATCACAGTTCTGCTAAAAAGAAACGACATGCCGATTACATAAAGTGGCGCCATCATTTGGAAACGAGAGGAATCACAGGCACCACAATTTAATGCAAATATATGCAAGAGTACGCAGAGTACTTGTCATTCGGCTCGATCGACGTTTAGTTTAGTATAATCCGAAAGATCAAACGGATGAACCTACGGTTTTGATTTGCTGCGGGGCTTGTTTGCTGACAATGTTCTCCAGCTGGCTTATGATCTCCATCCTGCGTTGCAGAAGCATGGCCAGGGTCTTCGCCACCGACCGCTGCTGTAATTGCAACATAATTTTACAAATTATTAACAATTGCTGGTCCATCTTGGGAGCAATTGAAAATGGCCGACTTGCCTCTGCCAATGTCATTTGCCTACCTTTTTCCCGTTACTCGGCAGGTTGTTCTGCACAGAGGGTATCTGCGAGTGATCCCAGAGGTGCATGTTGGCGGTTCCGTAATCCAAGGGATTACCGGAGACAACGTAACGAGGACACTGCATGTCCAGATTTTTCGCCGGAACAACGTGGGCCAAGCCCTGAGGCGACGGCATCACGTAGCTGGTCAGCGATCCAACCAAGTTGTTCTCGTTGGCAACAACCGGGTGCTGAACCGCGCTCACCTTCCCCATCGAGTTGAAACCTTCGTCAAACGTTTATTACAAACTGGCAAATATTGGAGAGTAACGAGTTCCTTTTAAGTAGAGCGAACACTTGGGTTCTGGCCATAGTCACCTTCTCTGTAAATGCTAGCTCGAGGCTTGCCAGGGTGGTAAATCAAGTCTTCGCATTGTTTGAATCCCTTTCCATTTGGAGTTGCCGCAGGCTTTTCTATTTTGTTATCCTGGTTGTTGGTCAACGGCAGGGATGACCTTATGTTGAGTTTCCTACTCTTCGATCGATATCTGAAGCAGAGGTTTTATGATTAAAAGACTGCGTCAGCCAGCGCCAATTAACACTAAAAGTCAACTCTGGTTTTTAGCCGTTGCTCGAGGGAAAATACACTTATAACTGTTTACTTTCTCCTTGCATATGTCCATAATGTGTTAAAAAATCTTGTCGCGTAATATCGAGAAAAAGACGTACTTGTCGAGCTCCAGGTCGCTATGGGCGAAGGTGCAGTTTGTAGCGCGCGGACATGAACCTCGTAGGGCAAGATCGCGACACATGCTGATTTTATATTTCGGCTGTCCTGGTCCAGCCGGATGCGCGCCATCTTGATTCTTGCGATTTCCGTGTTGTTGAATAAATTCCACCAAGGCAGCCACGACCGTTCTAACCGCTTCCAAAGCTGCTCTGCATTCCCTCCACGAAGAAGCTTCGGTCTCTGCAAAGAGCAAAGACAAGGGAAGTATTGAGCAGACCGAACGTATAAAGTACTTCATCTAAATTAAAAGCGATGGCTAAAATAATTCCAGCTTGCCTAGGAAAATGTTCTTCGCGCGAAACAATGCCAAATCTTTCAAGATTCTAGTTAGATCCTAATTTTAAAGTTACGCACCTGGACTAGGATCGATAGCTGCCAACAATTCCAGTTGTGGCCTTAAACTGCTGAGCTGGCCAGGATCCGGGGTACGTTGAAGAGCTATTACGAGTTCTTGGACACTCTGGGCAAAGGACTGGGGTGTTTGCAACTTGTCGATGATACTCTGCATCTGGGATTTGTGACTCGAATCTCCGTAAAGCAATGCGGACCACTGATCCGGGGCAATTCTCAGGCCCGCTTCGGTAGCTATTTGCACGATCTGGGCATCGTGCTCCCTTCTTAAAGCCTCGTAGGTTCTAAATTCTTCCTTCAATTGCATCAGCGAAGAGTCTGCTTCGCGCTTTGACACCTACCAAGGAATAAGTGAAACCTTCGTGTTTTAAATGTGGCTATTTAATAAAGCGTAAGAGATTTTAAATGGAGCTACAGCTAAATTGTTCGTCGGCCAATTTATCTTATAGTGTCACGTTACCTTAAAACAACTGGCTCGGTAGAGAAGTTGTACGACATGACCGATGCTAGTTTTCGAAGCTTGAGGAAAGTGTGGCTCTAAGCGTTGCACCACGAACATCACCAATACTTTTCTGGAAAGAGCCGATCCATCTTCGAGAGCTAACAGAACGAGCTTGAGAACTTCTTCTTGCATCGCTATTGAATGAACAATTGATCTTGTTAAATTAAGCACTTTAGCGTAGGAAAAGAAATTTCTTCGACTCTTATTACCTGGTCCAAGGAACTGGCAACCACGAGCCCGAACCGCAGCCCACAAGTTTGCACTAAGTTGCTGTGGATTTTGATGTTGCAATATTAACTCCGTAACGGAACGCTCTCCTAAGCTCCTCGCTGCTCTTACGGCACGAGCTCTGCCCTCTGGCTCCATCAACTGACATCCTACCAACATTACAAGCTTGCGCTGCATCGCCCGAGAAACGAGTCCTAGAAATAATTACATCCAAATAATTTACTATCGCTTTGGAGATTGCATTAAAATATTTACCAAATAATTAATAAGAATTGTAATACAAAAAATATCATTACCCGTAGCAGAGGCAGGCACCGCCTGACATGGTTTCAAGTAGAGAGCAAGCTCCTCGATACATCGCTTAGCCACTAAATAATGTGCACAGTCCTCAGGTGGTAAAAGCTTCAGGTAAACCGAGCCGGTATTCGGTGGAATGGGATTGCCTACCAGTTGCAACAAAGCTTCGTTCACTGGTAATCTTTCTATTTCTGTATTTATACCACTCTGAAAAAAAATGCCTTTGTAGTTGAAATTACATTAATTGTGCACTAAAAAGGAAGTGAAACTTTAATTATTAGCTGCGTCATTATTTTGTCTAAAAGAAGAAAATACAGGTGTTTAAGCTTAATCGTTATACCTGATCGAACGGACATTGCTTGCGATGAAGATTTGCCAGACACGTCCGGCATATGGTGTGTCCGCATCCTAAGGATATGGGCCCTCGTATTGCTGCATCAAAATTATTACAGCATACAGGACAAGAAAGGAATTCAGTCCACTGTGGACCCTGTATTGGCATTCTGGAATATAAAACTAATATAAGTCTACCGAGTAAGCAAAGCCAACTTCCAATAGAGCAGCCCGAAAGTACATCGACACTATTTCAAATCATCTCTATTCACAGGTGTTCTCATCGAACACGACAGTCAGAAAAGATCTTCCTTTGCAAGGCTCTGAAAATAGCTCTAAAAATATTCCTTATGCATAATGATTAAATTTCAAATTCGGAGGTCTTAAAATTGGCCGGAAAAAATTGTTTACTGCAACATAGGCTTCGATTGTCATTAAAATGCATGTAATGCGTCGTAGGATTAGGCGTTTTGCGACCTAATTTCCCGTATCCCCAAGGAGCTCCAATTTTCCCCAAAAATCGGGAAACGTCTTTCCTTTCCTCGACACTGATTACTATTTACCCGAGAATTATCTCATTAAAATCTGAAGTACGTGCGTAAAACGTGCGAAAATCGAGAAATTGCGGAACGTTTCCTGACGTTCGTTTTCCGAACGCAACTTTAACCACGCCGAGGTGTTCTAGCGATGTTCTAAATCACTGGAAATTAAATATGAGGAATTAACGAATATGATCCACTGACTTGCCTTGTAATTACCTTCAGAAAACATCACATTACTTGATAAATCACTCGAATCGTAACTCTGCCATCGAAGCATGAAACGAACTGCGAATCGTCACGAACGGTCACGAACAATGACGCAAATCGAGATGCTCGCCTACGTCTGGATGTCGTCATCAGAAAACAATCTAGAAGCATTGACTTCGGGCGAATGCCAGCAGGTGGCACCACGCGGTGGAAACACTCCTGTAAATGCGCAGATTCAATCCTAAACGTCTCGTCTCGACCGACATTTAAATTCGGATTTACTGGCTTTAGACCTGATAAATCTCGGATTTCGAGTACGATGGGAACGTAATCATGTAGGTTATACCGAATGAAAAATTGTATTGGTTTTTAATATGATTGTTAAAGATAATATAGAACGATTTATGCCATTACTTACCGATCTTCTCGGAATAAGAAGTACTGATGATGAAAAGAATAGTAAAAACAAGTTGCCGGCACTGTGTTCTTGTCCAAAATGTTTAGATTTTTAATTGAATATATTCATAAATGTAAAGTAAGAATGCATAACTAAGCCACGGTGTAATTATTGAATCTTGTTGTTTCAAGATGTTTTATATTAAGCCACCCAAAGGTCAGATAGATTTACATACACTGGAAAGTTGTGTATTTTCAAGGTTAGAATACTTAAACCTTTTATACCATGGTAATAGCAATAAATTTAGCGGCAATTTGGAATATATGATTGAAAACTCTATTTACGATAGTGTTGGTCATTTTACGCTCAGGTCAGTGAAAAGATTATCATTACGTTATATCGTCGTCTGACTATATCAATTTAATTACTAGAATACTTATCAATAAATCAATTCCGTTTTAGACTGTTAGTTGTAAATTCTATCGATCTATGGTCCTACTGGATTGGAAGAGAGACATTACTGTTTAAACACAGATTACAATGTATTTCTCCAAGGCATTTGCATCGATTACTTTCAAATATATTAAAACATGTAAACGAGCGGGAAAGGAAAACAAACCTTGTAGATATAAGCTTAAGTCAAGTAAGCACGTTTTTTCTGCAAAGAGAAATTTTCAAACACATTGTTGCAAATGATCACCCCCTCAAGTGTGAAGCATTTTATTGTAAATGTACGTACATAAAATTCATTGGTGAATAGTGCTAGCAATTCTTTAATTTTGAACAAATAATTCTTTTTCCTTGCGTTAACTTAGCTTACTTATTACAGTAAGATTTGAAGTTGTACCGGATTTAATTCGTTGCCGAGCCATAATTCTAAAAGGTGGATATGGATTTATCTTTTGCTCGCAATGGAAGCAAGTACTTTGTTCCCTATTTGAAACTCGTCTACATCAGGAACAATCGAGAGTAATAGGTCTTAATTTGGCAGACAAAATATCGAGGCATCCTCACATGAGTGTACTGAACCAAAGATTAAGAAATCTCATCCTGAAAGTGGTTCCAAATCTCTCGAAAATCACAATAAATAATATTGATAACGAAGCAAACAAGTTTCCACCCTGCATGCGACATCTGCACAAGACTCTCAGAGATCGACACAGGCTTAGTCACTATGCTCGCCTTTATTATTCTCTTTTTTTGAAAGAGTGTGGTATGAATTTGGATCATGCCATAGCATATTGGAAACAAGAATACTCAAAGCCGCATGCTTGTACGTCCACTTGCGAGCATAACTGGCAATCGGGAGAGCGAAAATTTTTGTACAGCATTAGGCACATTTATGGTTTGGAAGGTTCTCGGAGGAATTACAAATCACCCACTTGTGAATACCTTTGCGTAAGTAACCGTTACTGCAAACCCTAATAGTTTACATAGGAGAAAGGATAAATTCAGAGATACTTTAAATCATATATTTCCATATTCTAGAAGGAAACCGTAGGACCACGATATGAGGGTGGTTGTCCATTCCGATGTTTTGAAGCTACTGCATTGAAAAAAATACTTTCAGAAATGATAAATGGGAAGAGCTTAGAGGAATTTTTAAAGACTGCACCTGTACAAAATCCAGAAGCAGCATGCTCTTTGTTTCTTAAACTAGCCAAAGGGAGGAGCGACGACAGAACTGCTATAACTAATCCTATACAATATTACTCGGCAATGATCAACTGAAATTAATCATTCTATATACTACTTTTATGTACCGTTTCTAGTTATGTACATATTATAATGTATATACGATTTATTTTAGAGAGTTGACAATTATACTAATAAATTCTACCTCTTTTGTACTTAAGGAATTGTATGTGAATAATTACTGCTTGGAGAATTTTTCTAGACCATTTTTAACAACAGAATGATTCACACCATTTTGAACTAATATTGACATAACTCCTACTTTTGTTAAATCCTGTATATTTCGATGTTCATCGTCAAAAAATAACATTTCTCTATAACTGTATCCAGAGTTTTTGTGAAATCTGCAAACAGCACTTGCTTAACGTTATCGTTCATTTTCATTGAGTCGTATGATATGCTTAAAGTAAATTGGTAAATGCTCACCGTTCGAAATGTGTAACTTTTGAACCAGGGTAAATTTCTTTATATTTGAAGTACTTGTCCCATCCAAACAGTTGTAATAACTGATTTGCCCCTTGTATCTCGGATGTTCTTGAAGCAACCCCGAGCTCAAATTTTTGTTTTGTTAAATCTTCAAGAACATCAGGTACCTCTTTGTAATACCTTATTTTTTGGCCGTGAGCATCGACAACTTCATTTCCCTTCCTACAAAATTTCTTTAGAATTTATTATGAAGAAATAAAGTCTATGAACTTTTTGTTTAAGAATAAAAATTGTAAACAATTAATATATTTGATCGAATCGTATCTTAAGTACAAACCCTTTTTGAAAAGGCGGAGTTACATGTGTGTCAACCCAGAATGGCCATAAGGTATAATCTGAAAACATGTTTTCCTTTTTAACATTTCCGTGCAATTTATCTTAATGATACAAAATTGTCAGTGATACGTAAAGTGATACAATGGCATGCAGAAATTATCTATCCACATTCTAACCTAAATCGAAGACTATTAGTTTCGGCACTTTGCGCTCCGTCATATTTTAAATCTCTCTTATACTTGCTCTTGACTTTTGACTGGATTTTACGAAGAAGCAATGTTTGTTGCCGAACGTGGATTTGCAGTTGGTAAACAAATTTTTAATCCATCACAGAAGAAACCTAAAGCGGAATGACACACTGCTTTTTCTTGAAATTTTTATGGCCTGCAGTATCCAATGGGATGGGACGCTTTAGCCTATTTGAATTGGGCCGCCATTGTTAAGTGTGGCAAGCGTTCGAGCTTGTTTGTATTTCCGAGTTGTATTCCAGTGGATCCTACTCATCTCTGGTTCCACAGGTTGCCGCCAGAGCTCTCTAGCGACGATCAGCGGGACTCGCTCGCCGTTTCTACTTTCACCTCGGTTCGTCTAGAAGCTTCGGGTTGACCGCGTCTCGGTAGTGTGCGGAAGTGCTCCACGTTCCTCGACGCTGCGCGTATAATTATGGTGTTTGTGGTTAGGTGACGTGTTTCCAGGCATTTTCTCGATTGGAAAAAAGCCGCCCCCCGCGTCGTTCTCGAGAAGAATCGCGAGGAAAGAATGCCGAGCTGCCAAGGGTCGAGCCGCGTCCCCCGCGAGCAATGACCTTCCGTGAAGCGATGCGGGCGTCAGTGATCCTTTGTTGACGCATTCTTCAGCATTCTTCGCCTCGCCCAAACCGAGCCGAGCCGAGTCGACCTGCCGGCCGTCACGGGAGTGATCTACCTTTGTTTAAGAGCTCATTCCAAGTTTCATTCACCGCACGAAGACGCGATGTCTCTCAGCGCGAGCGCGGAGAACCTCACTGTGGATGGCCATGTAAGTCCTTATGCTTTCGATCATACGCTGAACGCCTTTCTTCATTTTTTCGGATCTGTACCTCAAAATATAATAAATCTTAGCTATTTTATGTTTTTTATTATTTTTCCTTAACGTTATCTCTTCATACTTGGATGCAAGGCGTGATTTTAATTACTACAAATAATTCTTAATATACCTGTGGTTATGTTTGTTTTAGAATGGCAAGAGCGACAGCAATATGTGTCTCGAACTAGCACTGGAAGGCGAACGGTTGTGTAAGGCCGGAGACTGCAGAGCAGGAGTTGCTTTCTTTCAAGCTGCAATTCAAGCCGGGACCGATGATCTGCGAACGCTGAGCGCCATTTACAGTCAACTAGGAAATGCCTACTTTTATCTAGGTGATTACGTCAAGGCTATGCAGTACCATAAGCACGATTTGACTTTAGCAAGGACCATGGGTGACAAGCTGGGTGAAGCAAAGTCGAGCGGTAATTTGGGAAACACTTTGAAAGTTATGGGAAAATTTGACGAAGCAATGATATGTTGTAAACGACATTTGGAGATCTCGAGGGAACTAGGCGATAAGGTAATATTAAACCTAAGTTAGCTAATAAGCACTGTTTATATAGTTTTTGATTATGATGCCCATTGTTAAACGTTAATTTTAGCTTAGCGAAGGCAGAGCTTTATATAATCTGGGCAACGTTTACCATGCTAAAGGTAAACAAGTGGGAAGAGCACCGCAACAGGAGCCTGGAGAGTTTCCAGAGGATATTAAACAGTGCTTACAGAAGGCAGTCTATTATTACGAGTAAGAGTAATATGTTAAACAGTCACGAAGAAGCTTTCAAGTGCTTAACATATGTAATGCATTATTTTAGGGAGAATTTAAGGCTTATGAGGGAGCTGAACGATTCCGCTGCACAGGGCAGAGCTTGCGGCAACCTGGGGAATACTTTCTACTTGCTCGGTGACTTCCAGCAGGCGATCCACTATCACAACGAGAGGCTGAAAATTGCTAGGGAGTTTGGAGACAAGCCCGCAGAGAGGAGAGCCAACAGCAACCTTGGCAATTCGCACATATTTCTTGGAGAGTTTGAAAAGGCAGCGCAACATTACAAGTATGGTTGGCACCAACGAATACAAATCTCCTTTGAGATACCAAACGGGATTCATTGCAGTGCAGTGAATGAATCGAGTGATTTCTGTGGTCTTTTAGACGGACTCTGGTACTCGCACAAGAGTTGGGGGATCGGGCAGTGGAGGCACAGGCCTGTTACTCCCTCGGTAACACTTACACTCTGCTGCACGACTACCCAGCTGCTGCGGAATATCATCTCCGTCACTATGCCATCGCCCAGGAACTGATGGATCGCGTCGGAGAGGGTCGTGCGTGCTGGTCTCTTGGCAATGCTTACTCCATGATGGGAAATCACGAGAAGGCTTTGCATTTCGCCAACCTGCATCTCAACGTGTCAAAAGAGCTCGGTGATCCGACAGGTCAGGCTACGGCTCAGATGAACGTGGCCGATCTGGAGAAGCTTCTTGGGATGGAGAGGACCACTTTAACGGAGGAGAATGGAAAGGGCGATGCCAGTCGACTCGGTGCTGCACCCATTCTGTCGGCTGTTGCTACTTCTCCGGGGAGGTATAGGTTACGTCGACAGAGCATGAGCAATCTGGACTTAATTAAGGTTAGTATTTCGTACGAGTGTTTGGATTCAAGTAGTTGCACTTGCGTTCCGTGGACAGTAAATTGTATCTTTTGTGTGGAATTTATTTGGAATAATTGAAAATTTCAGTTGACACCGGACAGTAAGCAGAGGAGTCAAAACGAGCCGGTGCCAACTAGAGGTCCGATCGCCCCGCAGGTGTCGCAAGAGGAAGAGGAGGAAAATTTCTTCGAGCTCTTATCTCGCTTTCAATCCGGCAGGATGGACGATCAGCGATGCGTCCTTCACGCGAACCAGGAGACCGTCGATAAAACGACCGTCCCGCAGAAAGAACAGTAAGCCACGATTCACGAGACATACATATTCGTATGTATAATTCTTCCCTTCGTGCAACAGGGACGACGATCTTCTGGAGCTGATCGCCGGGATGCAGAGCAAGAGAATGGACGAGCAGCGCGTGATATTGCCCTGCTTGCCTGGACTCAATACGCACACAAATAATCAGGCGACTGACAAATCAACGTTACAGCAGCCGAAGGACACCGACGACTCCTTCATCGAGATGCTTCTTCGTTGCCAGGTGTGTCTAGGTTTCCTGTCGCTAATGATTAATCACAGGCTTACCCCTACGTAACGTTATCAGTCGATACAATAATGAAAGAATATTCAGAAATGAAAGGGACATATTTTTAGGGCTCACGGTTAGAGGATCAACGCAGTCCTCTACCAAACGTGCCAAAATTCTGCGACGACGATAAGCAGAGCCAAAGATCGAACGAAAACATTCCGTCTAACAACACCATTCCGGAGGAGGATCTGCTCGCTCTGATTCAGAGGCTTCAGTCGGGTCGTATAGAGGATCAACGTGCCTCCGGGCCTGGTAAGACTCATTAATTTATATAAATAACAAAGTTTATAGATGCGCTCCCCATACATATCAGGCTCGAATATGTAACGATAACCCTACGAGTGTTGCAACTGCCGGCGTAATACCTTATCCGAGAAATTCCGCAATGGCTTTAAAGTATTACGTTGAGTGCCAAATTCTGTACAGACGGCGGTGATTTAAGTTACGAAAGTAAGTGACTATTACGCAGTGTACAATAATAAACCTAACCTAACATCTGTCGGCAGCGTTGATGTTCATTTCAGTATTATGACTGCGCGGAGCACCATGACTCGTTAAAATGATAACTGCACTTGTTCGTAAAAGAGTGTTATTTTGTTTTAATGACTCTTCCTATCGTCTTAAATAAAATTTGTTACACGTAACAACGGATTTCTGAATATTTCGATAACACTCTTTTCGAAGCTAACGTGTTAATTGATTAGAAAAATGTGTAGTGCTTTTAAATTCTCGAGAATTGCAATGCATCTTCGAGTTTTGCCTGTCCTTTTGTGCCCCTTTCCAGGTTTACGTGGATCACTTCACGGGAATATTATTATTGGATATATTTTTCCTCGTGTATTAAAAAATATTAAAACGCCTATAGTACGCGCGAATGAAAAATAAAGAAAAAGTGAAAGTGTCGATTCGCGAGAAGGGAGGTTTACGTCGGGGCAAGGAAGAAGCACTCGTTGCTCGTACTTTCAGCAATAACAATTTTATTTTACGTAAGTTGCAAAATTAAATAATGACAGTGATACATGGCGTATTGGACGGAAGGGCCCAAAACACTACGCAGAGGTAAGAAATTATGGTAAATCTCGTCGACGTGCAATTCTCTTAAGTAAAACTCCATTTCGCCGCGAACAAATGAGTCTGGAACTCGGAAAGGAAACTCGGAAGAAATTTTGTTATAAAAATCTATCGAAGCACGCCCAGTGGATCCCGGACAAATAGTTTGATATGCTCCTACTTGTTAGTTTTATATTACAATAATTAACATCATCACATACAGACTTATACACTAAGGATATGACTAGAGCTCCAAACCAGCAGAGCATCATCGACGGGAATGAGAATTTCTTTCTGTTAAGCAAAGTCTCGAATGAAATATATCGACATGGCAATCTCAGATCTATGAAACGATACAAAGGATGGATCTGCTTTAGCGATATCGAGTCGGAAAGTGACAGAAGAGTTTCCGAGTTTTTTTTCCCGTCTTCTCGGTCGCGTTTTCTTTTAAGCCCGGTAGTGTTTTAACAACCAAATAGAATGTCAGGTACAACATATCCCTCTACGGCTCTGTACGGCTCTGTACGGCTCTGTACGAGGTCGAGATCTCTAGCGTTTCTCCGCCCCGAACGGAGCTGCGATTCGACCGACGAACGCTTTTTCGATACCGATCATAGGAAATGGATAGGATCGCGAAACACGTCATTTCCGGACCGAATGGGTTTGATACAGGTCAACCCAATAAATTTACTCTAGGACAGGAGGATCGAAATGATCGTATATGCCGGTAGGATGAAAAAAACTCGACATATTGAAATATTTCGATGAAAATTTGGCCTGTGTTTAAAAAGGAAAGGGAATGCGACTCGACGAGCATAAATGTCTTTACGAAGAAAATGAATTCTAGTTTATTTCCCTGGATCGGTGTCGAAGGATCGATCGTCCGAGACGGTGGAGTAGCCGTGCTCTTTGCGGGGTTTCGTTACAAACAAGGAATGTCGTGTCGTACATTATATCAACATTTAATAAAGTATCTGAAACATTAACAAACGGACTATGCGATCGCTATACGACTGGCTTAATGCATACCTAATCGATAAGTAGTAATAAGGAGTCAACTAATCGGCAACCATAATACGCAGTAATGCTCGAATTAATTGCGCCCGATAAACGATAATGTATATGCATGCTTCGTACGTAAGCAATTATCCTGGCGGTAACATTCAATTAATTTTACGTTAATCCCTTTAAGAGTATCATTGGTGTTGGTATTATTGGAAACACTTAAGGTGATACGATAGGGTCATTTTCTATACGTACGAGACGTCGGAAGATTTCTCAAACTTTTCTCCAAATTGATTCGATTCACCGAATGATCTGAAACTTGGGCATAGCATTATGGAGGCGCTAAGGTAGAACCGGAGTGGAACCAAGGATACGTATCTTTGGGAAAAATGAAATTTCACGAGCATCGCGCCTTCCCCTAGGTCCTCCATAATCACGGGTATGATTTGGATTTATGCCTTTAGGAGCTGACGCCCATGGAATTTTAAATAAACGAGTGCTTTACGTTGCCACGAAAACCACGTCGCAATATATATATACATATATAATATATATAAAATGATCCTTTCGTATCGCCTTAACGAAGTTCCTCGAGGCGGTAACACGCATGTACCGCATCAACAAAACTCGTCGATGCTCTCGCTCGCACACCTCGGGCCTTTTTTCCTTCTCCCTCTACCTTCTTCACCCAGATTTACTTTTTCCACGCAAGTAGTCCCGGATTGTTACTCCCCGAAATTTTGTTTCCGATTTTGAACAGAGGCCCGTTTCACCAAAAGGGTGATTTTCAACCTGAAAATCAGCCTTTTGGTGAAACGCGGAATTTTCTTCTTAAACCACTGAGCGTTACCGGACAATGACGTCTGGAGCGGCTTTCTTTTTATTCCCTTTACAACGAAGACAAAAAATCCATCGAATTGGAATCTTCCATTTTTCTTAGGTTCGATAAACGGCGACGCGCGATGGGTAAAGGTTCATTCCTACCCTTTGTTTTTTTTTCCTTTTATTGTTACCGTTTGAGAATAATTGGATTTGGAGCCCGTGTCGCACGTACAATGGCGGACATGAATGCCTCCCTTGCAGATGCGGCATCGCCTGTGCAGGATGGGAGGGCATTGATGTCTCCCAGTGTACATTGTGGACATGAATGCCTGCCCTGCAGGTACGACATCGCCTGTGCAGGATGGGAGGGCATTGATGTCTCCCAGTATACCTAATGGTCGATGAAGGGTTTGGAAAAAGGAAAACGCAACGATTCGCCTTGAGACCGAGTCGGTTACTTTTGGGAGTCGGGGCTGAAAATAAAGTGAAACCGAAAATCCGAGAAATATGAAAAGGGAGATTTTGGGGTTTGTCGCCATTTCTGGCGACCACTTGCCACACCGAAACGGGGAACGTTCGAGAGGTAAAGAAAAGTGTCCGGGGCGGTCGCGATCCCGCGATTCCCGTCGAAGACCCATTACTCGCCTGCTAGAGAAACGCAATTAGGTATTTCGTACCTAGAGAATTATGCCGGAAAATTTGGTTAACGCGATCTCTGGCCCCGCTAGAGGAGAGAGAGGGGAGTCTCTCGCGGTGGTTTTCGACGAGCAGAAAATCGGTGAATGACTACAATTCGATAAGTCTTGGTTCAATTGTGTTTAGCTTACGATTGCGTACCCGTCACGTAGAGGGTGTCGACGGAATAATAATATCAGGTAATGCAGGTACAAAGCGACCGCTGCCGACAGAGAGATCGGAAAGTGCTTTCGAGGGACTCCTCCGTAAAAGCTGGGCTCCGATTACGGCGAATGCGTTTTAGCGTTTCCGGTCCCGGTTTCCGGACGTCTCGTTAAATCTCATTTTTCCTTTTTAACCCGGTTAAGAAACACCCCTGTATTTCAATTATCGACGGCTTCATTACGAGTCGCCATTAAAGGTGGCTTTCTTTTAAATAAAGATATCGGATACATCTCCGGAGATGTAATCGACGCGAACTAAATTCAACGCGAGTTTTGATGAAGAAGACCAAGGTTCATTTTGAGATCGGTTTTTTAACCACTTGCGCTACGATTTAATTTTCGGTTGCCGTGCCGCGCTCTACAATATAACATGCGGTATAACATCCGTACAACATACCCTATCGATTCTGAAATATTTCCAAGATATCGATGTCGTGCACTCTGGAACTGTAGCTCGAATAATGAACGATCCAACTGTTAGCCGACGTGCCGGACACGTCGATTTCGTTTCTGCGACAAATGCCTAACGACGTGGTATACATGTCGCTGGCAGTTTTGGAACAAAAGTATCTCGACGTGTGTGGCACGTCTTTATACCGCAAGTGGTTAACCGGGGGTTAAAACGGCGTTAACTCGTGGACGCGCAACGGTAGAGCGAGCGGAGACGGGACCGGAACCGAAGACATCCGTTGTAAACCGGGCTTTTCCTGCGGTATATATGTATCATATGTATCGTGTGTATCAAACGGATAATATCATACACAGAGTGGGCAGTTTAGCAATCACTATTTGATCGAACTTTCCTCTGTAAGCAGTGGCGAGATTAACGGCGCGTAGCGCATGGACGTATGGACGCGGCTACGCGTCGGATTTCTTCGAGCTCGCCCAACGCGTCGTTTCTACACTGGGTTTAACGACGTCGAATATACGGTTAAACTCTCGGTAGAAAGTTTGGCGAGGTGCGAGGAGAAGATCTCCGCGCGCGTCCACCGCTGAGAGGGGCGCGACGCCTCGTCTGCCTTCAAATCTGAGATTTTTATGCAACGTTTTGTCCAAAGTAGTCCGCGTGGAATATCGGTGGGTCTGTTTTTCTTTCCTCCACTTTTCAAGCAATTTAAATAATCGGTCGCCTTTCCGCGTCTTTCCCTTTATAAGAGTCGGTGCTTTCCCGAGTACTATGGAGTCTCCGACGTCGCATAAAAATCCCAAATGCGCAGGTACCCCCGTGACCCAGCTGGTTTTTACATTTTTTTCTTTGCATTAGAGCGTAACTTGGCCGGATTCTTGTGATTATGTAGATGACTCGCGTCCAAAACTATGAAAAAGCATCTCCAAAGTGCGCCCATATTCGTTCCCTAAGATCCTCGATTAGCACTCGTGACTAGACTCGCTGCCGTTCGCATCGTCTTTCCCGTTTGTCGGACGAATTTCACGGGGAATTTCACCAGGAATTTCTCTAATTATTACACGAAGCCGCATGCATCTTAAACGTTGCCACCGGTCGCGTCTTTGCTTGGTCAAATATTCACACACCCGGAAACGAGTTGTACCCTGAGGGAAAAAAAAGATCAGTCAACTCAAAGAAATAGCGGATAGAAATGAAGTGCTTACAAAGAAATGTCCAAAATTCGATCAATATTAGTTTAACTCGTCGACGTGAATTTTTCTTCTCGACGAAATCATTCTTTCGAACAGTATTACATTTCTTTCGGTCAACTAATCTT